CGTCCGGTTGCATTTCACCCAAGCCTAGGAACCCTAAAGAGGCCACTGGTATCCGCCGATTCTCCCATGCTGGACATGCTGCCCAATTACCAATGCAGACACCGCATCGTGACTTTTGATATGTAGACTCTCGTGCTCAAAGATTATTTTATTTTGTCCGTGACCTGTGATGTCTACTCCCAACTCAAACCGGAGGTCTTACATCGATCAGGCAGCCGCAACGGCCCCCGCCGTCGCCGCCTGCTGTGATGCCAACTCATATATTCGCAGAAACGACATGACAGCGACAATCTCAAACGTCTCACCCAGCGTGTCCGAGAGAAAAGCAAACTGCGGACCGGTCATCCAGCTGGCCGTATGAAACGCGACAGCCACAACTCTACGGCCGTCGCTTGTGAACCCCGCCTCGCGCTCCTGACGGTTGCCACCCCTCTCGACGTCCGAGTCGGACAAGCGCACGAGCTTGTACCCAGTCGTCCTCTTCTCGGCGACTTCTCGAACCTCCGCGCCCCGGCTGTTGCGCCATTCGAAGAACTCGAGCCGTTTCTTCTCGCCCACGGGCACGGAAAATCGGTGGGTACTCTCGTAGTCACCGGTCATGGTCACCTCCAGTATCTCCTTGTGGTCACCCCCCGAATGAGGGTGTACCTTTATCAAGGACGAGGTCTGCTTGCTTCCCTTGAGCGTGCCGGCCGTGGCCAGCGGCGGGTCTGACTTCTCGGGGCCCGCGCGCATCAAGGTCTCCTTCTGGCCCCAGAGCCGTGCCGGGGAGACGGCGAAGAGGAGGTCCTTCTTGGACGTGCCGAGGTGGAATGTGAACGAGTTCCAGTGGTAGAAGCAGGTGAATCTGGCGGGGAACTTGACGGTGATTGGCTCACGCTTGTAAGAAGCCCTCGCGGCTGCGATTGACTCTTCGAAATCTGGTGGTGCGTCGTGGATGGGCTCTTGGTATGGAGGTGGAGCGTCGCCATCTTGCTGGCCGTGATTTACCTCGTCCTTCTCCTTTTCGGGATTTCCCATTGTTGCACTCTCTGGATGTTGTTGAGCTACAGAGATTTTCGATTATGAACGTTTTGGATGAAGCTAAGAATGAGGGCTTAAGTGCTCGGTGCGATGTGAATAATGAAGACCCGCCTGCTTATATGCCCAATTTAACGATGCTGATGTCATGTGCAAGGGAGGGATCATCATAGGAACTGCCGGGTTTGATGGCGCATTGCCTAGTACGAAGAGGTCAATGCCTAGATGAGGAAAGAAATAGTGAGTAAATAATTGGCTATCTCGTGGTTTCTACTCGGAATACAATTTCTAGAGTAGGTCGTCACGACCAGCCGTCACGAACCTGAGATCTCTCTTCATAGTATGTAGACCAACCACCAGAATTCTCACAAAACGAATGTGGCCAACATTTTGCATAGGTCTTCATCATTGCCAATATCACTCATCTGCTGCCGTGGCTGCTTTAACATTAGCATTCTCGTCATGTTCCACGTCATCTTCCATCTATTAGGTTCCTCTGATGCGCATGGAAATGGGCATTTTCATCGTCGTGTAGGCCATCGTATCCATCGTGTTGGAGTTGCATTGTGTAAGAATGCGAGCATCTGAATGTAACAATATGTAAGGCTGCCCAATGATTACTTCAGCATAAAGCAACCCAACGAAGACTCTGGTATCAATTTCATTAATTTACTATTCTTCAACCATCCTCTTTATTACTATTTTCTCACTACCAATTTCTGGCATTATTGCACTTAACGTTGACTCAAGTAAATTGAACTTTGCTGAAAACAATGGACTCACTAGGCGCTAATTGTGCTGAGGACATAAACTCAACAGATTGCCTCCTTCGCACTATCCTTCTATTTTTAGAGGATGCACGCCGAACAGATGATGCGAAATATGAATGGGACCCAATCACTTTTGGATTCACTGTCACGATCGCTCTTATTGCTGCTGGTTTCGCATTGATCACAATCGTCCAGGCTGTATTAGCTGCCGGCCCAGGTCGCCGAAAATCGAACCGCGAAGCTATTGGCGAATGGGGAAAGAAGACAAAGTGGCAGTGGCAGTGGTTGGATTTTGGCTATCTTCATATTGCACAAACCCCAATCCTCACTGTTAAAAACGTTGCGAAATCCCTAAATAAAAGATCAACAAACCCAAAGACTCATATTTCCAGTTCGACCAAGACCGAGACCGAAAATGAGACAGTTCAGCACCAGCGATTAAGTGAAGGGAAAGGAGCGTCATGGCTTAACTTTCTACAAAAGTCTGGCTTCGTCGATCTTGTATTAGGTGATGAAGCTATGAGAATTACCGTAGCCGATTACCTGCCAAGTGATCTTGTGGCTGTTCCTACGCCGGTAGAGGTGGGGCTTATTTTTCTACTCATTGCTCTGTCTCGGAAGCCATTCAGGTTACTCGAGCCTGGGTCGCGTTATCCTTGCCTGACTGGCCCCGGGTTTCAGTTCGAACTACGACAACATATGAACTTGGGATTGATAGGAGCCTTCTCCTCTAATCAGCCAATGAGCTTGGACCTAGGCCTTATATCAAAAAAAGAGCTCGAACTCGCCGCACGACACGCGAAGGGTGTTCTTATAACACAACTATTTCCCTCCGACCCAGATAGCCGAACCCTATTTGAAGCGCTTGACTGTAGGGAAGAGATAGACATCACTGCCCCTTCTGTGATCTCACCGTGGCTCGCCGCGCATCACTTTGATTCAAATTGTTTACTATATGACAAGCGCGACTTTATAGTAAAAAAGTTCCCTGGAAACGCTAGTATTCTCTTCGGCTTTCTTGGCGCAAGTACACCCAGTCGCTGTCCTGCCGCTTTCCCATGGAGCATGTTACCAGTTGGAGAAGTATTCGCAACACTTTCTATTAGTTGCAATATGACCACCGAAGAAAAGTACGAAGACGCAAGATCGCATCTGATACAAATTCACGTCTTAGAGTTGATATTTCAAAGCCAGGACGACCGATGCCTCTTTAACACACCCGAACAGGATTTATTAGGATCCCGGTGCAGATGTCAAGACATCCTGACTGCCTGTGCCAGCTTGAGGCTGCAGTTTAGCGAGTTCATATCTTGGCTTGGCAGCTTCCCACCAGAGAAACTCCCACAATTTCGACAGGACGTCCTAGATCTAGTATTGCTGATAGAAACTTGGCTTCGGGAGCGGAGAAAACCTTCTGATGTCATTTGCCGATCATTCCATTTGCTCGAAACTACGCTACAACTACAACATATGTTGGAGGTAATCACTGAAAGCACTTATGACAGCCGGCAAACACCACTTCAGCTCTTGACACAGTTCTTTCGGGAGTACTCAAGAGATGGTCCTTTCTCATATAAGATGCTGAATGTAACACCAGAGGAATATGAAGGAGATACGAGGCTTAAAGAACTCACCCGCCGATTGGCTCCCCGAGAGAACTTCTTCGATTTCAAGAGATTTGCGAGGCCAGCACTTATTACTATGGAGTCATTAGTGAAAATTTGCAATACAACTGCAAACCAACCATACATCGGATATGATGGAGACGTCATGATTAGGGAAACGGGAATTGAAATTGACCTCGAAGGACAAGAGGAGATCAAGAACTCGGAAGTAATCATGGGGGGATGGGAGCGGAATAAAGCGGTTAGTATCCTTAAAAGAGCCCACTAGAAACGTGTCATGCACAACGAGATTGATGAACATTTCTTAGGTGCGTAATGATCAACCCACTGGGGCATTTCAACCAGAACAACTCTTTGGGGCAGCTCAACCAGAACAATCCACTGGGGCATCTCAATCAGAAGTTCCAAAACCACCAGATGCAAAAATCGTCGCTCGGGGTGAACCCGATGATCCTCTCACGCATGTTCTGGCATGGAGGACCACACTAATGGCGATTTTGTTTCTAACGGCAATGGACACTGCGCCTATGCTAGCCTCAGGACTTTGGAGTCAGGTTATACCAATGATATAGCTTTACTGTGCTTCAGCTCTAATTCAGCAAGGGGGTTTTCTAAACACATCAATCTGGGCTTAAGAGGCGTGAGCCTCTATAAGATTTCGCTAGAAATTCTTCAATTGAATGTTATTCCTAAAACTACTAAAATTATCCTATGAGGCTGAAGGAATCTCCTTAAACAACTCTTGAAGTAGCTTTGCAGCCATGCCCTATAAGTAGTCTGGCATGTCCATGTCTAATTGTATGCTGTGAACCACGGATTGGCAACACAGATTGTTAATGACGCATGATATTGTCATACTGTGTCGTATACTGCTTTGGTTCAGTGAATGCTGGAGGGATGGGGGCTGGTGGAGGCTAAGCTGCCAGATTTTGGGGCTGCAGGTACGTCTTCTCTAGTTGCTCTATGCCTTGCCGTTCCCTGAGCCAAGCGTCACTTTGATCAGCATGGCTGAGCAACTATACGCTTCAGGTAGGCACTGATGCCGAGGATAAAGGACAAGTTCTGGGGCCCTATCATTCAAGAAGGCAGTTGGGAAGAGAGATACTTCTGGGTCTCTAAGGGATAGGTCGTTGATCAGGATTAGAACAACTTCTGGGACCCTGCGGCTTGCGAGCACAACTTGTGAGGTCACTCGGATCGTATGATACATGGGGTTTATCAGACATTGATTGGGCATTCAACATGTCAAAGGAATTTAGCAGCATCGGTTTGTTCCTGTTAGACTCTTCCATATTGTATTCTATATGGAAGAGGCTCTTGTCCCCTGAAGGTATCCTGAAAGCTGGTTATCTATTAATCCTTTCGACAATTCTAGTTAGCTAGCTCATCCGTCCTCGATGAGTATATGTAGAGTAGCATTCAGGCATAGCTGTTGTTGAATCCAACGCTCTGTTAAACAGTAGGTGAACTCGGACACGGCGCTTGCTGATGGCATTTCCATTGCGAAGGAAGGCAAATTGTCATAAGAGAGGATAAAGCTGTATTCAAAATCATTGCGCATTAGCTTTCTCTTATCTAGGTTCACTTATAGCTTGGCTATCGACCTTTGCTCAGGGACCTGAGTAATGAGCTTGTTTTTAGTAACTGCTGACCGAACATTGTCGATAGCTAGTACTTCCATCTTGGTCTGAGTTTCGACACTCCAAGTTCCCATATGAGGGACTAGAAGCACCTTCTTGTTGGCAAGAAGGCCTGGGTTGATCTCTGGTTCCTTCTCGAAAACGTCGAGGCCTGCGCTAGCGACCTTGCCCGAGGCGAGAGCTTTGACAAGGGCAGCCTCGTCCAGGATCGGCCCACGGGCGGTGTTGACCACAACGACTCCGTCCTTCATCTTGTCAAACTGAGGAGTGGAGATAAAGTGGTGCGTTTCAGGCTATTGAATTGAACGTACTTAGTTCATATCCTTAACGGAAAGATAAAAGGCAAGAAAAGAATTTTGACTTAGACGCACTGTTAGAGGAATGTGAATGCTGATGATATCACTCTCTTCGAGGAGTGTATCGAGGCTCACGCTGCGAGCTCCACCATGAAGCTTCGGATCGACTGGGAATGGATCATAAAAATTAACGGTCATGCCGAAGGCCATGGCTCTTTTGGCGACCGTCCTTCCGATTCCTCCAAATCCGAGAATTCCCATCGTCTTTCCTTGTGGGTCATGCCCCAACGCAGGAGCCGGGTTGCCTCTCCAGGCACCGGCGTGACAAGAATGCACACTAATGGGCAGGTTGCGAAGGGCCCCGACTGCAAGCCAGATTGCTAGGTCGGCAGTTGATTCATTCACGGCGCCGGGGGTGTGGGACACCTGAATACCACGTTCTGTGCAGGCCGCAACATCAATCTGGTCGTATCCAGCGCCTGCATGGTTTGTGAGCTGTTTGATGGTGCAAAAGTATTTGTCCAATGAAGTAACGAACCGTTGTGGCAGATATACTTGAATGACTTGGGCATCGCATCCAGAAGCTCGGCATCAAATCTGCCACTTACGGTAACTGAATAGTAGTCACGGTAAAGGGCTACAACGCCATCAAAAGCGCCTGATTTGGCCTCCTTGATGAAATCGGCTCGATTCGTGGACTTCGGCCTGATACTGTCTGCGATAGGTGCGAGGCTTGACCATGCATCTTGGGCACTGAGAGGCGAGTAACTGTTAATCCCGTGGTTCGCAATACGAGATACTCTCAAGAAGGAGTTCTCTTGGGAGTTTATTTCTACCCGTCTCGTCTCTCATACTCACTGTTCAAGTGTTCCCAGCAGCATAACCTTGGGCCTACTCATTTTCAGTTTCTTTCTTTCCAACAGGTGGGAATTGATTATGATTTCCAGCGACAAGGATACTGAAATAAAGGTCTAAGAGATCGCAATCATGTGGGCTCAGATGCTGTTCATTATATTGAATAAGAAAGAAAGCCAAAATCACATCTGAATACATGTCACCCGGCATTGGCTCCGGGATGGTGGGTCTGTTTGTCGGAAGGAAGACCGAGAAGGGCGCTCACTTTTGAGAACTCGAAGCTATCATGGAATAATAAACTCTAATTCGAGATTCAATTGAGGTTAGCTGATTAATACTCGCTTGATACTTATCATCTATCTTCTCTTTGTGTGGTGGTTTGTTTTATCTATAGCAAACTTCTCACACTTGGTTCCATCCTCTGCATTTTAACCCTGGTTGATCTGAAGCACTCTGGCAGGCCTGTACTTTCCCAGGATTTGCCAGAAATAAGTTTCACCAAGCCGGGAGCGCGTAAAAAGATGCGAGCCATACCTGAATGTGTTAGCTTAATTCTTGCCGAGTTTCATAGACGATACTGACCATGGCCGTTAAACCCAGCGCAAATCCACTGACCCTCAAGTCCATCAATCGGACCTAGCAGAGGGATCGAGTCTGTTGTCATTCCTAAAATACCTGTCCAAACATGTGGTAATCCTTCTCCCGGCCGAGTTTTGGTTGATCTAGGTTCGAGATATAGATCATTGAATTGTTTCTTGCTATTTTCAGCCATCTGTTCTGAGTAATCCCCGTCGTCGTATGTCTCCTTGCTCGCTGCAATCTTTTCACTCGCCTCTGCGGTTTTAACGGATGATCCTCCCATAATCACAATGCCATCGCTAGGGCGTTGTATTAGTGAAAAGAAATGATGGAGGCTGTATCGGAGGGAGAGTGTAGTCTGTAGAATCTTTTCCCCAGATATAGCAGGGGTTGCTACATATGCGTGAGCTTGTGCCCTCAGAGGCGTTATGAAGTTGATCAGGTGGGGGAGCAAAGCCGGTGCGTATGCGTTTGTGCAATGAATGACCGTATGTGCTGCGACTACGCCTCGAGGGGTATGAACGTTCCACCGGAACTGACGACTTTGGCTGTGCTTCTCAACTTTTGTAACGGGACAGTGAGTCCATATTTGTCCTCCCTTGCGTATGAAGTCGCTCAGAATCCACTGAGTTAGCTTTGCAGGATGGTTGGATGCTGCAGGCCACTCGTATACAGACAGCGCATCCTTGTTTCTGCTCTTAGACTTGGCTTCGTTGCCTTGGTAATACTTGACATGGGAGACATCCCCTCCAGCAGCTTTGAAGGCAGCAAAACTTTTAGCTTGGTAGTCCTCGAATTCCCTAGTCAAACACACATCCATGGTTGTAGAATCAACAAAATCACAGTCAATATTATGGGCTGCAATGAAGTGCTTGACTTTTTCGAGGACAACCTTCTCGCTTTCGATTATCTTCTTCGCCTGGTCGGGCCCGTGAATCGATGAGAATGCAGAAAATCCGCGGAAAGCATCTACTCAAGCATGGCCACATTAGTTAGCTGGGGAAACGATCAATAATTGCCACATCTCACGTTGCATCTGGGTCACGCACCAGGTCTGATGTGACCGGCATTTCTTCCTGTGGCGCCCGAAACAGCTTCTCTTGCCTCTAAAACCAACACTTCCTCTCCCTTCACTCCAGTATTAACCAGCTCCCAAGCTGTGAGTACGCCAGAGATGCCAGACCCTATGATTAGGTATTTGGCTGAACTGGGGACCTTGGTATCACGATTAGCGTTTAAATAGGGAAATGAACGCGTGGTCTGGTGCCAGAAAGATAGGCTCGAGCCCGGGGTTGGGAGTGACGGCTCCATTGGTAACAACGAGTGAGGGGCAAAGGCAGTCTGTCTTTGATTTGGACATTCTTGATCGGGTCAAGTCAAGTGCAAGCTTTATCAAGGCCCGGATATTGAGGGGAATGTGCCGAGAGCTCCTATCTCGGTGCCATCGCTATCTTAATCCCATGCTCTATCTCAGCGGTGGAGGCCAACTGATCATCATCCCCGCAAGCAGTGCAACATCAAACTTGGGGAGGGGACAGAGGTAGCAATGCAATGGCAAATCATGGTTACATCGTGACCGTGAACTAACCATTTTATTGGCAAACTAATGGAGCCGATGCCGCTCATTCCCCCGTGCAGCCCAGTACGCAAGCACTGCAATACCTGCAGTTTCCGGGTAACCTAGGCCTATCTTCCACGGAGGAGGACATGACGCCGAAAACTCATGCGTTTCTTCGGATATGCTTATCATCCGTAGGTAATTACTTGGGAGCTTATCTATGCTTGAGGCATTTTGAACGTAGGCTTACTATCTCACAAGTTAAATGTCTACTGCTACCTTCCATCGATGTGTAGAACCCTGATCTACACTTGCTATCGTCTCTCATCTCTTTTGATTTTTTGACACTTTGCACGCCACTATGGGCTGGTTCAAGCGGCTAGCAATGTTTGCGTCTTCAGACGCGAAGTCTCCAGCGGAAAAGGCATTTGTTAGAAGATTGGATATTTTTCTGATGACATTTGGCTGCATCAGCCAGGTCATCAAGTATTTGGACCAGACGAACATCAACAATGCGTACGTTTCCGGTATGAAAGAGGACCTCGCTCTGTACGGAAATGAACTGAACTACTTCACGACGTACTTCTACGTGGCTTACTGCCTTATGTTGATCCCCAGCCAAATCATCTTGACTTATGTCCGTCCGAGCTTCTGGTTGAGCAGTCTGGAGGTCGCTTGGGGAGTTATGACTGGTTTGATGGCCATGACGACCAAAACATATCAAGTCTACATAATTCGAGTGTTTCTTGGCTTGTTTGAGAGCAGCGCATGGCCTGGGATGATTACACTTTTGATGCACTGGTAAACGCTGGACACGATATTCCATCCGGGACTTGGGCTGATTTCAATGATTAGGTACACGCCATCGGAGCTCGCGAAAAGAATGGGCTTCTATCATTCATGCCAAGCGGTCGGGTCCATGATGTCCGGCGCATTACAAGCAGCGATAACGAAGACAATGGATGGGCATCATGGACTTGCCGGTTGGCGATGGCTTTTTGTCGTGAACGCCATCATCACAGTGGTTTGGGGGTTCCTAGGATTCTTCATGCTGCCCGACTACCCCAATAATCCCAATCCAAGGGCCTTTTGGTTTGACAAGTCCCATGGCGAACTGGCAATGGCGCGATTGGTCCGGCACGGTCGAGCAGAGCCTAGAAAAGTAAGCTGGGCTGGCGTAAAGCGCACTTTCTCTTCCTGGGTTGTCTACTTCATTACTGCACTCTACGTTGCGAGTGTTCTTGCTCCTAGCGGAAACTCGTACTTTGGGCTTTTCCTCAAGGCCATGAAGAACCCAGACGGTTCAGCGAGATGGACAACGGCAGAAGTCAATGCCATTCCCATTGGTGCTTCGGCAATAAATGTGGTGTTCGGTCAGTGTCAAACCCGCCCCCTCACAAATACTCATGTTACTAATATCTCAGCGCTGCAGTCTGGATTTGGGCAATATTATCTGATCTCATCGGTTCACGTTGGACGCTTCTTGTCGCACAGTGTAAGGAAATCTGGACTTGCTAAGCGTGAAATGTCTCCTGACTGACATTGCTGCTAGTTGCTATCGATTTCATCCCTGCCATTATCATGACCATCTGGACTACGCACCCAATGTCAACTCCAATCTCGGCTGCCTATGTAAGCTACTTCTTATCTTACATCGCTCTTGGAACGGCACCCTTGATATTCTCTTGGCTCTCAGACTTGTAAGTTCACAGTATTCAACTATCATAATTTTAATCTTCTGCTAAAAATCGTAGGATTCCACAGGATCCAGAGGCCCGGTCATTGGTGGTGGGCGTTGCTGTGGCAGTGTACTACGCAGTCTCAGCGTGGAGCAACGTTCTCATCTGGCCAGCAGTGGAAGCACCATATTGTAAGTACCGATTTAAATACAGACAGATCTTATTTAGCTGACTCTATATTTAGACAAGAAGGGATGGCAAGCATCAATTGGACTGGCCGCCTTTGCTTTGATCATGACCGTCCTCCTTCGCATCATTGATGTCAAATTCATGAGGTACCCGAGTACAGCCTTGCTCCATTCACGTAGAAACACAGCTAACAGCGCTTTAGACCCAAGCGTGAAGCTTTTGCTGCTGCTATTGAGGGTGAGGAGGTCGGTGTCGAAAGAGCTGCTGACAGCATCGATAAGAACAACATTATTAGCCAAGGGGAGATTGTCAAGGATGATCTAGACGATAGGAGATGATGCCGGTCTCACACTGTTTCTTGGGGCAGGAGCTTCATGGTAGCTCTTCTCATGCTGACATGAATCGGCTAACCCTAAGAATAAAAGTGAAGACCGCTTTGTACCTTAGGTGATGACTGTTTTTTTTTAGAACTAATGATCTGCTCATTCTCCGCAGACCATTTCATTTATTCATATTTGGGCGCCTCTCCCTGCTCATCCACCGCCCGACCGCGACTCTGGACCTAGGCCCAGCAGCGACAACCCTGTGTACGCTTTGTGACCAGCATCATGGCATCGTCAGCATCATCTCAATCGCTTCTCTGCCTGCCCTTTGACACCAGGAAGCGGATCTATGCCTTTGCTGGGCTGATCCGAGAATGTCCTGTCACTATTGTGCCGTCTTCCCAGGCAAACCTCTTCTATGGCCCCCGGCCACTACCTCTAAATCACGCCTGCGCCTTTGAATATCGCCAACAAGGGAAGCCGGACCGCGTGTCGCGCGGCCATGTCCCGGACTGCTTGTGCCCAGAGTTCCCTAAACAGCTGATGCTCGCCTGCAAGGCCCTACACCAAGAGGTCCAGAAAGTCCTCTACGGCGACAACAAGTTTGTCCTCTGTGCCCACGGCGATCCTGGTGGTCTCGGGGCCTTGAAGACACTTTCCAAAGACGCGATATGCTCGCTGCGCTACCTTCTCGTCCGGCTGAATAACTGGCCTTGTCCTCGAGGGCATAGCCGTGCCAACTTGAAGATGAATCGATGCCAGATCTGCCCAAGCTCTATTTCACAAAGCGACCCGGAGCTCTCAGCTGGGGATAGCGCATCTGAACTTATTCTCAAGGAGTGGGAGGCAATCTGCCAGAGTCTGTCATGTATTCCTCCCGGCCGTCTCCAACTTGAGTTTATCTGTGATGTCGATAATGCAGATACTGCTCGGCGCGTATTGCAGCCATTGGACTCTGTCCCCCGACTTAAGGAGTGTATAATCAGGCTGGGGAGAAAACGTGACCATACCCTCCAGTCAATCGCTACAGAGACTGCTACTAGAGTCACCGCAGAAACTGCTACCAGAGTCGCCGCAGAGAGCAGTGAATATAAACCTTTCCACTACCTCGGACTGCCTCAGGAAGTCCGTCTCCGCATTCTCTGGTACACAAACCTAGGGATGGGGGGTTCATTCCTCCCAAGCCAAAAGAGCCTCCATATCGTCAATGGGAAACTCGACCAACGGTTCGCCTTCTCTGGCATGCACACCAGCAACACTGTACGGTCATGTTGTCTCCAGTGCTCTTTTACCAAACTCCATTGCTCCTGCCCTTTGAAATATGCGGCATACAGCCCTTACTGCCAGTGCAGATCCCTCCCTCTGGAGCTCCGCCATGTCAGCCGTCAGATGGCCCAAGATGCTTCTGAGGTGCTTTATTCGATGAAAATCTTCCGATTTAGAGGCTCGTTCTCTGATACAAAGAACATGCTCAGTATGATTCCTGGGGAATCTCTGAAGCAGCTGAAACGTATTGAGTTTGACCTTGACACGATGCAGACATTGCACTGGGATAAGCACAAGGCAGATTGGCGTGATCTTCTCCTATTTATAAGCACCCATTGCGATCACACTAGGCTTCATCTGAAAATCACCGGCGATCCAGGGGACTATGAAGTCGTTCAGGAAACCGAGGAGGTCAAGGAAGCAATGGTTGACTTTTATGCCGCCTACGTTGATCTTATCCGCGCCATCAAAGAGGCCGGTCTCGGGCTCCAAGATTTCCACCTGTTCCTGCCGTTGTTCTTCGACTTGGAGCCTGTCCTGGAGAGATATGTCATGGGCCCGGACTATGATAGCAAAAATGGAAATCGGTATTCGAAGGCTGCCCACAGCGCGGAGCTATATCCGCATGTCCACCCGTACTACAAGTCGATCCCTGACTGGCATAAGGATCTGTAAATTTAAATTAGTCCTATCTAGGTATTATTCGCAAGGAATCTAACCTGAAAACTATGAAGGTTACTATACTGGAATTATGGATAGTCTATACAGCTTATTGTAGCGCCACGAACAAGGCTTCTTTTAAAAGAAAGGATCCAACCGAGCCATAGTTAAAAAAAAATCAAGCTCTCACTTACGTACAGTCTACCTCATAGGTGCATGTTTCGTGGTAAGGAGCTTCAACCCATGCGACCGTAAAACACGGTTACCAATTGGGAGAACGCGTTTCTAACGACTACAACCCGTAGCCAGTTGAGGCTGAATAGATAAATATTTCTTCTTGAGATTTATATTAAATTATATACTTGATAGGCCTTTTTTAAAGTTTTATAACGTGTACAACTGTGTTGCCTTTGAAAGATGCGTCAAGCTCTAGGGTAGCCGAAAGCAGGATGGTAGCGAGGACACGCTTGGTAGAAACTAGGTACATGGTGATTGAAAATTAAAGTATATTACACAAAATTCTGGGGTAATTGATCCGTCTATATTATGAAGCGTTTCACTTGTTGGTGGATTTTCATTCTCTTGGGCCCCTTGAGAGCATTGCTTGAATGCTGCTCTTCATGCACGCTCTTGAACTGAGCTTTGAACCCCTCTTCTACAGGCGCTGTAATTGGATGATCCAATTATTGTGAGACATTCCACGTAAATCACTCTGCTGATGTTTAAAAAAATATTAAATTACATCTTCAATACACAAATTCTTGGTGTTCGCCAGCTTTTCCAACAGTCATATCTTTGGAGAACCTCCAAGGCTCTGATTTCTAGAGCCTAAACAACAAGAAGCACCATTTCTCCTGGTCTACGAATCTGTATCAAAGAGGATACTCGCAATGTCTGAAATTAAAGGTGGCTTGATCGCCAACCCTACCGTGATCCAACCAGCCCCTTCAAGGCAGGCAGACCGCACGCCTTTGGTTCTCATACATGACGGCAGCGGCCTCATATTCAGCTACTTCTGGTTGGGACCACTTGGTCGCGCAGTCTATGGCATCTCCAACCCCAATTTCGAGACTGGCGGGGAACGGGAGGGCGGGCTCCCCCAGATGGCCCAAGACTATATACCCCTTATCAAATCTGTGGTGCCATCGGGCAAGGTCCTCCTGGGAGGGTGGTCTCTCGGCGGTCTATTGGCACTCGAAATTGCGCACTTACTTGCCAAAGACAGTGATCTCAACGCATCGGGCATACTTCTTCTGGATTCTGCTTATCCCAAGTTTGCAAGTGAGGTCAAGACGCGCGACCACTTTGACCGTGCTCCGTCAAGTTCCAACGCAGCACTTGGAGCTCAGGTGCAAGCAGCCTTTAGCAGTGCCCGGCGGATGATTGACGAATGGAAGCCTCCAACCTGGGGCGACAAGGACACTTTTCCACCGCCGGCTATCCTCCTCAAGGCAACTGACTACGTGTTGGGCCAGGGTGACGAAGTGGCGACAGTTGATATCGCCCGCCAGACCCAACGGCTCGGATGGGATGAATATGAACACAAATTTATCAGGGTTGTACTCAACATTTCTGGCCACCACTTCAATATCTTTGCCGAGGATAAGGTACGGCATGACCCCATAATAATGCGCGATGGCAGAATGTTCACTAACAGAAAGTCACTCAGGTCCAGGAGTTGACTAGAAAGGTCATGATGGCATGTACGATGCTTGAAACGCAGTCTTGATCAAGTGCACTGGCCTTTATAATTGCTACTGATGGGATCGCTCTTGCGCTTGACAGGTAGGGAGTCTTGAAAAGTATAACTGCTTTGTTGATGCTTAGATCAATTCTGAGATTGCAATTCACACGTCAGGGTTTATTAGAGAGGAAGAATATTATCGGTCAGGAGTTTGCATCTTGGGTTAACCAACTCTTGGGACTGCTGTATCCTTCCCCATATCGTGGCTAGCTTCATTCTTATGAATAGGGTCTTGACAGCGTCGCGGATAGTCATTTGACCGTAGTGTTAGGTTTCGTACGTCACGATATTGACATCCAGCCAATAGTTCTATTTTCTACTTTCCAAAGATCTTGTCTTCTACACCAACTACTGTATTAGCAGGCCCTAGCTTGGCACATGCCTTCTATTGAGGATATCGCTCTGCTCTTTCATAGTCGGATGCTCAATAATGTCCTCCATTTCTAGCTTGTATCCCAATATCTTGTACTGATCAGCCAGTTGGACCGCGGCTATGCGGCTGCTCCAGACTGAGTAGAATGGTGCCCCTGGATCAATCTTCTCTTCACCAAACACTTCACGCCAGACTTTTCTGACATCAGGCAGAATGTCCATCGTATTGTTCGCATCGGTGACGCCATTTGTTGCATGTTTCTGAGCGTGATGGCTGGCACTGCCGTTGGTTAGCCCATTGGGTTGGATCGCTGTGGACTGCATGGCGAGAGCAGCGGAGGAAAAGGGATTGTCAAGTTCGTTTTGGTGGCTGACCTGATCGAGGATGGAGCATAACAAGTCGGCCATGTCAGCGATAAGGCTACTTGAGACACGTTCTAAGCTGTAAAGAAACTGGATACACATCACATTCTTGTCACCGCCCGATGTACTGGGCATTGCGTCGACGACAAGATCAGCGAGGTCTGACTGAGGGTTTGTCGCCGACAAAAAGCATTCGAGATCTTCGCCAAAGGCGACCATGCCCGGTTCTACAGCTGCGACCTGACATTCGAGCAGTGTGCTGAATCGGGTTTCGCAAGGCCATTGAGTGCACTGGGAAACAATCTTATCATAGGGGTAAGTTTCGTAGGGCATTCCTTGGAGGTTTTGGTCTCGGAGATTCTCCAGCAGCTCGAGCTTTGTCTTTGTCTGACTGGTATTTACTCGAACAGGGACAGCGTTGATACATGGGCCGATGACGTCCTCAATTTGAGCCATGGGGAGGCTCCGTCCGCTGACGAGATATCCGAATACAACATCCGGCTGTCCTGTGACGGCAGCCAGAACTTTGGCCCAAGCAGCTTTGAGGACGATGGCAAAAGTAATTCCATGTTCCGGGAACTCGACTCGGGGGACTCGTCGCATTAGCAATTGATTGGCTGGGCAATATGAATAGGGCGACTTCTCGTGCAGAGTGATCTCTGTCATGGAAGCACCATCTAGCAAATCGCGATAGAACTCGACAGCGCCAGCGTCATGCATTTCGCGAGCGGTGTAGATGAAACTAGAGAATCCGGGCCAGATTGATGCGTCGCTTGCTGAGCCGTTATACACAGCTGCGAGATCTTCTAGCAACAAGGGGAATGACATGCCGTCAAACTGTGCATGGTTGATGCGAAGAGTGAGGCGGAAGCCCGCGGCGCCCCCATCGAAAAACATGAACCGAATGAAGGACTTGCCAAGGGCAACTCGGTCATTTGAAGCGTCTTCTTCTATGATTTTGTCCGCAAATACCTCAAGAGACTCATCCTTGCTGCACTGGTAGTGGTTGAAGGCTCCCGAAAACGACCGCAACACAACCTGGAGTAATTGTTGTCGCCGGGCGAAAAAGACTGTCCGCAGGATTTGGTGTCGCTCAACGAGGGCGCGGCAAGCAGTTTCGAGGCGGGCAATGTCGAATACCCTCTTAAAGTCGAGGGATATATAGTTTGCTTTGGATTTGGGCTCTCGCAGGCCACGAGCCACGAGTACGGCTTGCATATATGTCGTTTCTAGCACATCCTCCACTTCATCATGACTGTTGACGATGCCGTGGTTAATGAGATCCGACATAACTTCGCCTCCAGTGGAGTTGACGGTAGAAAATTCGTGTTGCCTTCGCGAATGTTGCTCATTCGTCGATTCGGTTCGCAAGGCCGCCGCCATCTTGCTTAGAGTCGGATTCTCGAAGATATCAGCAACGGAAAGCTTGAACCCCTCGGACTGGCATAGTGAAACTAGTTTTATAGCACTCATAGAGTCACCACCAACTTGCAAAAAGTGGTCATCTGCCCCAATAGAGTCGGCATCAATAGGCAACACGGACGACCAAAGCTTTTGAAGGAGCTTCTCCATAGGGGAAGAAGGTTCACGTTTGGCTATCTTGGATTGGCTATGAGAGGTAAGTTCATCCACAGACATGTCGGATAAGATGGCTCTGAGTGCTCGCCGATTGATCTTGGCAGATGTGGTCATGGGTATGGCGCCAAGCGGTAGATAGACTGATGGAATCATATAGGGCGGCAGGAAACGCGAAAGCTCCGGAGTAGCACTAGAAGTCAACTTGTGCAGAGCTTCAGTCGAGGCAGGATCAATCTTGTTCAAATCATTCGAAGCAACATCAGGGCCCAAGGCAACGAAAGCTACCAACGCGGAGTAAGTTTCGGTCTCTGAAATAGGCTTCTCGACCAACTCGACGAGGACGCCCTTTGCGCCTGGCATGGCTCGTTGCAGATGATGCTCGATCTCACCCAGCTCGATTCTCTGGCCTCGCAATTTCACCTGGTTATCCTTTCTGCCCATGAAGATAAGAGTGCCGTCATCGGAAAAGCATGCAAGATCGCCGGTTCTGTAGAGGCGCTCGCAAGTGCCGAGCGTGGGGAAGTTGCTGCGCCAGCTCGGAGGCTTTACAAAAGCTGCTGCCGTCTTTACAGGATCGTTGAGATATCCACGGGCCAGTATTGGGCCTTCAATGAGTATCTCACCTATTGCACCGATGGGAGCGAGGATTTCAGGGTTTGAAGCGTCAACGATCCAGAATCTCGAAGACATTGGACTGCCGACATTCCTGGGATGCGATTTGGCTGTCATATTGGGATGGCACGACATGATAGTGGCACACTCTGTCTGTCCGTATCCTTGCACTAAACTGACATGAGGAGCCCATTTCTCAAGGTCTGACTGGGTCAAGCTTTCAGCACCCATGATGAGTGTCTTGACAGTAGATATCGCTTGCGGGGGAATCAACCGTGAAAAGCTGGGTGTCATAAACATGTAGTTGATGTTCATTTCCTTGAGAACCAGGGGGAGGCGTGCTCGAGCCTCACTTGGAACAATACAAAGACTGCCACCGTATATTAGAGTTGCGAGCATCTCAGCGATGGCAGCGCCGAAACTGTATGAAGCTAGCTGGAGAATGCGCACGGAAGGCCCAAAGAGGGCACTTTGTGCGAGATTAGGTACCATAGAGCAGAATCCTCGGTGCTCCATGACGCATCCCTTCGGCTCTCCTGAGCTTCCGGAGGTGAAGACCACATAGAGTGCGTTGGAGAGGGCGGTACGTCCACTAATGACTTGGTTGTCAGGGCTAGGGCCGAAGCGGTCATCAACCACAATTGCAGTCTTGTTTTTGCACTCAGATATCCAGCTAGCTTGGTCTGCGGAGCAGAGAACTGCATTCGCTTTGACGGCATTCATGATGAACTCTAGACGGTCTCGGGGATGACCTGGATCCAATGGAACCATGGCACCTCCAGCTTTGACCACGGCAAGCATAGCAACCACCATCCATTTTGACTTTTGAAAGCACAACGGAACCTTGACCTCAGGTCCGACGCCTACGCTGACTAGGTGATGGGCTAGACTGTTAGAGGCTTGGTCAAGCTCTTCATAGCTGAGATTGCCATCCCATGTCTCAATAGCGAGTTTTCCGCCGTTTTGATGGACACTTGACCTGAACAACTCGTCCAAGCATTGTGTAGCGCCTTGGAGAGTTGGACTACTCGCGTTCCAACTTTCGATCTCTTCCCGGCCACTAGGGCCTAGTACATCAAGTTCTCCCACTAGAAGCGTTTCGTTTGCCTGGAGAAGCTGCTGGATGAGGTCGTCGAACTGGCTAATAATTCTCCGCATCTGCTTATGGCTCAGGGTGTTGGAATCGTAGGCAGCATCAATCTCAATCGACTCTTCTGCAAGGGAGCACTCTATGCCCATGGCATACGTATCTTTAATGTTGTCTAATACATCACCTGCAGCAGCCACCTGGACTGGGCAGACCAGATTGGCGGTGGAGGTAGGCTTCGGCTGGATAACAAGGAGGTTCTGGAAGCCGCATGCGGCCCGCGCACCCTCGCTCAGGCGTTGAATCTTCTGCATACCTAACGTCTCGAACGGCATCATGTCTGCTGCGTGGTCTTGCACCTGGCGCAGATAGTCGGAAACAGGTGCATCAGAGTTGACTGTGATCCTCGCAGGCACCGTGCTCGCCGTTGGCCCCGCGATATTCTCAATTCCTGGCAACGGCGCTGCTCGACCCGAAACGACAGTCCCAAAGAAGACATCACTCGAGTCAGTGTACCTGGCTATAAGAATAGCCCAAGCGGCACGAACAACGGTTGGGATGGTAATGCCAGCGCTTGTGTGCTGAGTGCTACCTTGTGCCAACTGGATGGTGTGTTGCAGCGTCGAATCAGGCCGAGGTCGTTGGCGCACTGATGTCAGTACCAACGGTGGGAAACTTGCAGGTGTTGCATCTTGCAAGGATGACTTCCAATAAGCCTCAGCAGCCTCTACGCTGGTAGTTTGATCGAGATGCTTGATGTAGAATCTGAAATCCTTGGTGGTTTTCTGATAAGCCCCGGCACTATCGAGCGTCTTGCGGTAGGTATCATCGACGGCCTTGAGAATAAGTGACAGTGACCATCCATCGTATAGAGAATGGTGAATGGTCCAGACGAAGAATCGCCGCCCAGAAGCCTTGTCGTTGACAAGGGCGTATCTGGCGAGTGGCCGGCCAAGACCCATTGCTTTATGGCTGTCTTGGGCCGTGTAGTCATCCAGTGACTCTGAGTATTGCCAATTGATTGACTCTCTGACCACAACTTGAACAAACTGGCCATCACTACCCGAGGAGGCAGGAATGAGACGAGTCCTAAGAATTGGATTGAGCTGGACGACCCTCTCCCATGCATCCCTGAGACGATCAAGGTCGACGTCACTTCGGAGTTCCGCTACCCCCTTCGCTGCGTACGCTCCGGGAATTCTCACCGAAGCTGCCATCATACCCTCTTGCAGAGCTGTACAAGAATAAATATCTTCAATATCTTCCTGGGAAACGCCACATTCCATGGCAGCACGCTGATACATACTCATCTGTCCAAGAAGAGAGAAGTGCGCCACCTGACCTTCCTCACAATCGGCAGTCTGAGCTTCATTCGGATCCACTAGTGTTGCTAGAGAGGCCATATCACGTAAGACTGGATTCTGGAAGATGTCTCGCGGAGACAACACAATGTTCTGGGCACGACACGCCCCGGTGAGGCGAATTGCCGTAATGGAGTCTCCGCCTATTTTGAAGAATGCGTCTCCGGCACTGATAGTGGTCTGGTCCACGCCAAGAACCGCAGCCCAAATCTCCTGTAAGAGCCTCTCCATCGATGTCGACGGCTCAATATGCTCATCAGTCACTTTGACCTTGAGACCATTGAGCTGGCTGAGAGAAAGACTAGAGACCAACCGTTTGAGTAGCGCTCGATTGGTCTTGCCAGTAGTCGACATGGGGATAGAACGAACAGGAATGTATCCGGAGGGTATCATGCTGCTATGCATAACTGTGGCTAAGTTTGCATCAACTCCCGAGACAATCGGGGCAAGTCTTGACCTGGTGGCGGCATCGACGTTTAACAAATCTTTGTCTGATGCTTGCGGCTCACTATTCTTAGCGACCGCCAAGAATGCCACGAGCATTGCCTTGCCCTCGACGTATACAAGCTCCGCGACAAGATCGCGGCCATAATCCGGAAGTGCTTTACGAAGATGATGTTCAACCTCGTCGAGTTGGATGCGCAGGCCCCTGAGCTTGACCTGCATATCACTTTGCTTGCGGCCCATGTACAATATGGCACCCTCCGAATCGTACCGCACCAAGTCACCCGTCTTGTACATTCGTTGGGGTTTCTCGTATGCATTTCCGAACAAGCGCAGCCATCGAGGAGAGTCTTCGATGAAGGAGGCGGCCGTCTTGGCTGCATCCCCAAGGTATCCACGTGCTAAGACCGGGCCAGCGATCAGTAGCTCACCAACAGCTCCCACAGGAAGAAGCACATGATGATCCTCGGGATCGACGATCCAGTAGGTTGACATCAAAGGCTTGCCAATGTCATTTGGATGCGTCTTGTTGCCGACGCGTACAAGGCTCGAGACGACCGCGCACTCCGTCGGCCCGTACATTTGCACAACATTTACCTGTCCAAGCCAAGGGCGGATGTCATCTTGGGAAATACCTTCTCCACCAATCCAGAGCGTTTTAAGCGTGGGCACAGCGGCTGGGTTTATAAGCCTTGCCACGGATGGGGTCAAGCACGCCCAGTTGATCTCCATGTCTGATATAACATCCGCGATATTTTCTAAGCGATCAGCATCCGATGGGATGCATACGCAACCACCGGCGATAAGGGTGGTGAAGATCTCGAGATGGCTCATGTCGAAGGAGTATGAGGAGAATTGTAGCGACCGAACTGTCGAACCTTCAACATATTTGACATGTGCCGCCAAATGGGTGCAATAAGCTTGGTGAGTAACCACGCAGCCTTTCGGTTCGCCCGTAGAGCCGCTGGTAAAGATGATATACGCAGCGTCATCTGGTGTTTTGTGGCTGTTTCTTAATTCTTCAGCAGCTAAGCCCACCTGAATCTCAGGTTCACTGAGATAATCATCTCCTAATGTGATGATATCGTCGCATGAGAGCTCTCGAACTAAGTTCTCATTCTGAGGGGAACACAAGACGGTACCTGCCTTCGTCTGTAGCATGATACTCTTAAGCCGCGACAGTGGTTGACCCGAATCAAGGGGTACGAAGGTGCCCCCAGCTTTGAGGACGGCAATCATAGCAACCAAGTACCATCTCGTCTTGTGGAAGCAAAGCGGAACTGCTACCTCTGATCTAATGCCAGATTGTCTCAAGCGTAGTGCTAGGGATGTTGAAAGGTCATCCAGCTCAGAGTAACTGAAATTGCCGTCCCATGCGTGTACGGCCGGAGCCGCAGGATGGATCAAGACAGAAGAACGGAAGATTTGATCGAGGTAACTGTTGACAGCCGGTAACGGCGGCTGGTTCCAGTCACGGATTTGCTGGATATCATGATTGCTGAGAATTTCTAGGCTGCTAAGCCGTGTGGCCGACGACCGTGGAAGACAGAGCTGTGTGAGGGCATGCGTGAACTGGCGAAGAACGCGGCCCATCTCAGCAGCACTGACGATGTTAGAATCGTACGTCGTAACGACCTTCATGCCCGTTTTCGTCATGCTACAGTCTAGAGCTAGAGGGTATCCAGCAAAGTCCAGCTCACCAGGAGGGGAACTGAATTTCTCAAGCCATCCTTCAGTTTCCTTGGAATCATCATCACTGCTATCTTTCCCTTCAGGCTGGATTACTATAAGGCTTCGGAATTGGCAAGCCTGGTAGATGCTGTCGCTCAGCCGTTGAATCTGTCGCAACCCGAAGGTCTCGTGAGGAATCATACTGATTGCCTGCTTCTGAAAATCGCCCAAATACTGGTCAACCGTTTGATCTAGACCCAACTTGTGGCGTATTGGAACTGTGTTGATCGTAGGGCCCAAGATTTGCTCGATGCCGGCGATTGGCGCATATCTTCCAGAAAGAATCGTGCCAAAAACGACATCCGTGGAGCCTGTGTAGCGGCCAACAACAAGAGCCCAGGCGGCTAAGGCCAGTGTAGACCTAGTGTAATTGCCTGCGACCTGTGCCCCTGACGGAAGATCGAAGCTGTGGTGAGTGACCGTGTCTGGTCGTGGGTGATATGTTGGCCTGGGCAGCCGAGGGAACTCAGACAAGGTAGCACCGTCGAGCTGAGACTTCCAGAACTGCTCGCTCAAAGCACTTGCAGCTGGCTGATTACTTTCTTGCACATATTTGATGTATCTCGAGAAAGCTACGACCGGCTGCTCGATGCTTCTGCCAACGTAGGAGCCATGAACATGGTCCAAAATTAAGCGAATCGTCCAAGCATCATACACAGCGTGATGTACCGTCCACACGAAATGATAGCGCCCTGAGGGACTGCCAACAATAGCATATCTTGCAAGAGGCTCCCCGAGCGACATTGGCCGGTCGCAGTCCTGCTTCAGGTATTCATCCAAATCATGACTCGTGTGCCATTGAATCGACTCTTTACAAACAACCTGCAAGGAGCCTCTGCTCTCTGTGTTGCATATTCGAGTCCGGAGAATAGGAGTTATTGCAGCTGCATGATCCCACGAGGCACAGAATTTATTGATGTCTATTCCCGCCGAGGTCAAATCAATGACGGATTGGGACTGATAGGAATTGGCTTCTTTGATCGAAAGTGCCATGAGCCCTTCTTGAAGCGGTGTAGTGGGATATATGTCCTCAACAAGCTTCTCATCACGAATATGACATTGAAATAACACTTCCTCCATAGCTAGAGCATGAGCCGGAGTATCGGCGGCATCTTGGCCGGGATTGTCATCGAACATTGAAAACGGCTCTGGGTTTCTGTCAAACTGTCTCGATGTCGTTTCTTGGACGTTTTCGATGCCCTCTACGGTGTTTTTGGTCAAGAGAAGCGCCATGTCTTCTAATTTGAGGCTTTGAAATATTTGCGGGATCGAGAGCTGTAACCCATACGAACGGCAAGCTGCCACCAGGCGAATTGCTCGGATAGAGTCACCACCAATAGCCAGGAAGCTACTTTCTGCGCTGATTTCCTCTGGTTCTAGGGATAAGACGGTGGCCCATAAGCGTTGCAGTTGTTTTTCTGCCCATGTTGACGGGCTTCGGCCAATCAAGGCTGTAGTGCGGTACTCAGCGAGTTCCTTCTTTGACAGCTTAGAAACCAAGCTGCAGAGACTTTTGCGATCAACCTTCTTGGATGCTGTCAGAGGAAGACGCCATAGAGGCACAAACAAAGAAGGAATCATGTATTTGGGGAGTAGCCTCAAGAGTCGCACTTCGATCTTATTTAGCGACGACAGGAAGGCATCGCGCTTGGGAGACGAAGGAATCAAATAGTCGTCCCCATGATGGTTTTTGGTACGGTCATTCTTGAGGCAGACAAATGCCACGAGGATTGGATCCTGATTTTTGATACTGACAAGTTCGACAACAGCTGACTGCAAATCAGGAGCTGAGCCAAGAATACCAGCTTCGATTTCCCCCAAGTCAATACGTTGACCACGCAGTTTTACTTGCGTATCGCGGCGTCCGAGGAATATGACGTTCCCTGTAGCGTCATAGCGAACAACATCACCAGTTCGGTAGAATCGGCGCTGTCTATCCGTTGCCCAGACCAAACCCTTGACGAATGCATTCTCAGTCTTGACAGAATCTCCGAGATAGCCTCGAGCGAGAATGGGCCCCTCTATGAGCAGTTCACCCACCGCTCCAATGGGAACCAGCTTGTTCGGATCGTCGACTGCAGTAACCCAGTACTTTGCGTTGAATGGGCGACCGAGATTGTGCAGCTCGCTCGTCGAACTATGATTGGCGAAAGCGCTTGATATTACGCCGCATTCCGTGGGACCATACCATTCAAAGAAGTGCGGGATAGAGGATTCCCATTGATCAATATCGCAACGATCCACAGATTCGCCTCCAAGAGCGAGAACTTGCAGTGTAGGTACGCTTCCTGGATCGATAGTCCTGGCTACGGTAGGTGTCAGGAAAGCGGCATTGGAACCCAAAGCTTCCATAGCCGGGCCAAGGTCATGCAGCCGATCATGGTCGGAAACAACGCAAACACTGGCACCCAATATCAAGGGGGTGAGAATCTCAAGCATGCTGACATCGAAACTATACGAGGAATAGAGAGCCACACGCGACTGGTTCGAAAGACAGAAGGCCTTAGCGTAGGCGACAGCACTGGAGAGAAAAGCGCCGTGCTCCATGACCACACCTTTGGGAGTTCCTGTAGACCCGCTGGTAAAGAGCGTATAGAGTGCGGATGAGGGTGATGAAAGTGATAACAGAGAGCTTTCTGGTTGATGAGAGGGAAGCGATTCAAGAAGATCCTCATTTATGACCAGTACTTGTTCGTCAAGCTCCCGAAAGTCTGAGGCGTATTGCTCAGAGCAGAGAATCACCTTGGCTTCCACCGCGGCAACAACAACATGACGGCGGTGGATTGGGTGTAGAGGTTCCATGGGGACCATACACGCCCCGGTCTTGATTGTCGCCATGATTGTGACAATGCTCCATAACGACTTCTCTAAGCAGAGGGGAACAAACGTCCCGGGGCTGACATGAGATTTCTCAATCAAATAAACTGCCAGACGTGTGGAAAGGTGGTCCAGCTGTGCGTAACTCAAATTTCCATCCCATCCGTGGACTGCAACTGCATTTGATCGGAGTTCTACTTGTTCTTTGAAAAGAGTTGGAAAAGAGGAGTTGACGCTGATCAGGCTAGACGAGTTCCAACTCTGAACCTCGTCCCAGTCCGACTCTGTAATGGATGACATAACACTGTCGTCCATCCTTGTGGGGTGTTCAAGGCGGCAGAGTTGACGTACAATGTGCTCATACTGTCTGACGTATCGAGTTACCTGTAAACGATCGAGGATCTTGTCATCGTAAGCTGCCCGAACCAGGACCTCGTGAGTTGGCGTGATGACACAATAAAGAATGAATGCATAAGTCCCGTAGCTTCCCATCTCGCCACCCATGATGTTGCCTGGAGGAAACAGAGTATGGCTACCGGCCTCGATGTCTTCGGGAAGAGTCCGGATGTTGACAAGACTTTGAAACTGACATGCGTGGTTTGGCCCCTCACCAAGACGCTGGATATTCTGTAATCCTAGCTGCTCAAAGGGAATAATATCAACGCTTTGCTGTTGAACTCCGACAAGAAAGTCACCCAGAGACGTTGTGTCAGTCCAGCGAATCCGTACTGGCACGGTCACAATAGTTGGGCCAACGAGTGAGGCTATGTCTGGGATCGAGACATTTCGCCCGGACAAGGTGACGCCAAACACTACGTCATTGGAGTTGGTGTAGCTGCCGACAAGACGTGCCATGGCAGCGCGCAGGACGGTGGGCAAGGTATAATAGGCCGCTTCTCGTTGACCTTGGGGAAGTTGGAAGTTGTGATCCAGAGTTGACCTTGCATCAGGCAAATATGCAGGAGTCGAGATTGTGGGAAAGATCGGTGCGTCACAATCTTCAAGATAGAGCCTCCAGAACTCTTCACTTGCGTCTCTGTTAAGGTGCTGTACCTCCTTGATAAACTTCCTAAAATTGACAGGCTCTTCAATTCCTCCGCCGGCATAGAACTTCTCTACCATGCTTTTAATAATTGGCATCGACCAAGCATCGTAAAGCACATGATGAATCGTCCACACAAAGTATCTTGTGCCAGTGGAGCCGTCTTCTACGACAGAGTACCGCGATAAGGGCAGTCCGAGGCTCATTACTAGACTTCGTTCCGAGTCTAGGATCTCTTGAAGCATGTCGGAGCTTGAAATTGTCCGCTGGAGCCAAGGCCCTGATGTGGTGAGCACGACTTGAAAAAGTGTTTCACTCTCGCCATGTATCAACCTAGTCCGGAGTATATCGCAAGCGTCAATAGTCTGCTTCCAGGCATCCTCGAACTTTGAGATGTCAACATTCTCGGGTAGCTTGATCACTTCTTGTCCAACGTAAGATCCAGGTTGCTTCAATGAGAGCGCCATCAGCCCTTCTTGAAGAGCAGTACATGGATATGCATCTTGAATCATGTCGGCATCTTCAATGTCACCACATTGTGCGAGCGTCGCGTCGATGAGATTTTGGGCAGATACCTTATTGTCTAGCAAAGAAAAGCGTAAAGTCTTTGCTTCTAGACTCTCATCTTGGCCATTCAAACGTTTGAGGTCAACAGTCGATGCCAAATCTGCGAGTGTCGCCGCGCTCAGGACATCGGCAACTTGCAGGAGAATGCCGCTTGTTCGGCAGGCAGCAACAAGTTTCATGGCGGCCAAGGAATCTCCGCCGATCTTAATGAAGTTATCTTCAACACTAATGCTTGTTGGTTCTATTCTCAATACTGAGGCCCAATGGTCTTGGAGTTGCTTTTCAAGATCTGTGGCTGGCCCCCTTGTGTCTGGTCTGGTCTTATCTTTCAGGGCCAGGTCCTCGTAAGTTAGCTTGTATGTGAGCTCCCTGAGCCTAGCCCTATCAATCTTTCCAGACCGATTGAGGGGCAAAGTTTTGAGCGGGAAGAACATTGATGGTATCATATGATTTGGCAATAAGTCTACCAGTCGCGTTGGAACTCCCTCCACTGTGGAAACCAAAATGGCTCTCGTACGCTCCGAAATGTGCTTGAAATCAACAACCTCTTCCTCTATCTGATCTCCAAGACATATAAAGGCTGCGACTAAGTCTCGACCTGCAATCGACAGGACATCCGCGACCACGCTGCCAGTCTTCGTGGCCAAAACAGCACGAAGATGATGCTCAATTTCATGCAGCTCAACTCGCTGCCCCCGGATCTTGACCTGACTGTCTTTGCGGCCGGTGAAGGTGATGGTACCGTCCGTGTTAAAGAAGCCGAGATCTCCGGACTTGTAAAACCGGCGAGGCCTTTGAGAGTCAGAGTTGCCGCCGATAGCCCACGATGGATTCTCAATGAAGGAGGAAGAAGTCTTCTCTGCGTCGTTGAGATAACCCCTTGCAACAAGAGGGCCTTCGATGAGTATCTCCCCAACACATCCCAGAGGCTGCAACTGGTTATGGACGGCCGGATTAGCAATCCAAGTATTGGCTCCCATATTGCTACCTAAATTTCTACAGCTCGTAGTAGGCTTCACCCCGGGATTGCTGGTGCAAAGGATGGTAGTTTCCGCCGGGCCGTAAGCATTAACTAGATACACGGCGTCTGCCCACATGCGAACTATATCTTGCTTGATAGGCTCACCACAGAGCACCAATGTTTCTAAAGTTGGCACGTCTGATGGATGCAAGATGCTGGTCGCACTTGGGGTGAGACAGGCCCAATTGACCCTGGTGCGGGTGATGAAAGCAGCTAGATCGTTGGATCTCTCGTGCTCGGATGGCACACAGATACAACCACCATTTATAAGCGTATTCAATATATCGCCATTGCTAATGTCGAAGCTATACGCGGCAAACTGGAGAACACGTGAGGCTGGACCAAGGCGGAGAGTTCGGCCCTGGGTCTCGCCGCTCCAACAGATGGCTCGATGCTCAATGACGATACCCTTTGGGACTCCTGTCGTTCCTGAGGTGAAAGTGACGTATGCTGCGTGCGAAGAATTGACTATGGTATTAGGGGGGGAAGCTTTGGAGGGTAGGCTTCGGACAAACTCTTCTCCTGCCACTATGATGTTGAGATCGAGGCCCGAGAACAACCCTTTACATTGACTCGAAGTGAGAATAACACGAGAATCACAGTCTTCAATGATTCTACTCAGTCGAGACTCGGGATGGCTACTGTCAAGGCCTACGCAAGCTCCGCCAGCTTTGAGAATAGCAAGCATTGATACTACCGCCCATGCTGATTTCTCGAAACAGAAAGGGACCAAGACATCTGGACCGATCCCCAGCTCGCTAAGATGTGATGCCAGGCGGTTAGAAAGACCATCTAGTTCGTCATATGTGAATTGGGCATCCCAGGCCGAAATTGCAGGCGCGGACGGTTGCCTCTTGGCCTGTTGCTCGATTAAATGGTGCGCACAAGCATTCAAAGTTGAGTTGGGAAGGTCAGTCCAAGATTCCATCTCGCGAGCGTCTTGAGGGCTAAAAACCTCGATATCTCTGACGAGCGTGTTTGATATATCGGCCGTAGCGGCCGTTAATTGACGAAGAATATGCTCATACTGGTACAAAACTCGCCGAATCTGCACCTCCTCGATCACGGCAACATCGTATGTAGCCCTGATGACAATCCCGGAGGCGGTGGATTGCAGGAATATGTCCAACGCACAACTCTTCCCTCTTAGCTGCGGACCGCTGTCCTTTGGCAGGCTCTTTATTGAAGCATAGTCGCCGTTCTTCTCTGCTAGGCACTGTATCATGAGATGTTTGACTTCGCCATTTGGAAGTACACATGGCGGCTGAAAGTGGACGGACCGAAGAACATCTGCGATCCTCAAGTCTGCCTCGACAGAGGTTTCAACTACAACTGGGTCGGCACTGGCGCTCTCTGGGTAGCTTAAAGCAAATGTAACTTGAGTTGACGCAGCCCAAGTGCTGAGCAAGATCGCCCATGCTGCTGATGCTTTCGTCGTAGTTTCACCCTGGTCATTCCCTAGCGACAGCTGTGTGCGTGATTCGAGGGTGGCATACATCGCGGCGCACTGAGCCCTGGGGCGGGTGCTCTAAATTGGGGCTTAGCGATTGGGTTCTTCAGCAAGTGTAGTATGCTTGTAAAGACTTTCTGCCTCGGCCGAAGGCAACGCTGACAGCGTCGGTGATCAATGTCAGGCGAATGGGTATTGAGATGGCTACGTAGGTGCGATGGGATTATACCGCGATTCAGACCAAACGACCAGAGAAGGCGTTCTTGGCATCAAACTTGAGATGTTGCATCAAAGATAGAACGCACTACCATGAATATCTAGCCTTTCATGCAAACTAGCGGCTCGTTGCAGGGCAAGGAGTTTGTTGACGGCTGTAAGACGGGACTCATCAGTGACCTTGCACGTGGTACATGATCCTTCTTGACAAAATGTTGCCTCTCAGAGAAATCCCCTGATCTTATCCACCGCAATGCTATAATCGTATCCTTGAAAGGAAAGATTTTAAAAGGTATAGATACTCGCCTATACTCCTATCCTTGTTTCTTGTTCATATGTAAAACAGAAAGCCCCTTGATAAGTTAGAACTTGCATGGGTATAGGGTACGGTACAGTAGCATAGGTATTGAACACCGTAGAATTTCGGAAAATAGATGGGCCCTACGGAGTAAATTGCCCTGCATTTCCGCCATTGACTAAACCATTATGGTATGGTATGGTATCAAACGTAGGCGTAGCCATGTACGATCAGTTCGCCGACGTTTGGGATGGATTGGAATTGCGTTTTTTCCGCCAAATTGTAACTTGATATCATTGGCAGTCAAGCGAGACAAGACGATATTGTGAATCCTTTGAAACGGTTCCTCGCCAATCCTATACCTGGGATACCCTGCTAGACATGCATGATCCTATAAGATACGATACGGGAGTCGTAGCGCGGTGCTTTCCTGAACCGGCGGTCTGGGTTTGGCCAGCTACAGGTACCGGTACCACCTCGAAGACACGCCAAGTGCCGTGACAGGGGTTGCACGTTTGGTTTTTACAAGTAGGTACTGGTACTTTGACCTAGAACGCGCGTATGCTTACGGCCCACCCGCTCTGACGGCAGTTGTTTCCTAGACCGGGGGATATTAGAGCGAACCATGCAAGCAGATCAAAGATCGGCACAAGTTCAGCCGGCAGTGCTTCAATGTGATAGTTGAACAGGAAAGTCTTCCATGCCATCAATCCCCCCGGGTGCTCTTTATGAACAATTCTTGCCCTTTTATGTCTGATGTTGAACTTCTTCGTCAAGCCCGGGGTACCTGGTTTAAAAGGCCCACATTTACTGTTCAAACGGTTTAAAGTGAGGGACCCACTTCAGAAGTTCCAATTTAGGATATCAACCAATCAGAGTCCAACTCTGAGTTGATCGTCCTGAGTTCCAACACCAGTGGATCTGACGGCATCTCCATGACATGAATACAGAGCAACACGTTCATTCTTTATCCTTGTGCTTACAACTAGCAGGGGCGGCCTAATGCTTGAGCTGATGCAGAGCGGAAGTCCGCTCTCATAGTTTCACCCCTGGTATAATGCGGCGTATCTAGACAGGGAACGGGGTGTAAATGGTTCGAGAATACTCGGTTCCATACAGAAATAGGAAGCGGCCGCTCGTCAGTAGAGTCGAAACTACGGTGGAGGGCGCATGGGCTAGCTCCCCACGCTTCAGGGAATCTGGAGGATGCTGAACCCTTCTTGCAAGTTAGTTTGATTCTATCACCACAGGTCAGGGGCAAGAGCCGCCACTTGGGCCCTGCATGTACCTGGATACTCAATGTACAGAGTACCCTTCGTGACATTCTTGTTCCGGAGTTCTCAGGCGGTGATTCAAGCCTCTGTCATCTTGACCGAAAAAGGTTTGCATAATCTCCCTTCCTTGACCACGTGTAAGCCCTGGAGACACAACGCTTCACGGTGAATGAGAATGTAGAACAAGATTCCATTGTGAAGCCCCATAGCCTTGCCTAGCTTTCTTGCACATGTACATTGATAGTACCTGTTAACACCCTGGTGAACAACGAATCTGCCATAATCCATACTCTTCTTCATCCCTTTACTGTCCTTGTACCTCTAGACGTGCTACAATAGTCTTCCTGACAAAGATAGAAGACAACACAGATGTCTATCTGTTGAATTGATAGACTTAGCAGTTATGAGAGAACAGTCTGGTCAAACCGCGGGCGTCCAAGATGCGCGGATAAATGGACATCCTCGGGAAAATGGCATCAACCCAAAGCCCCAGTTTGAACCCATCGCCATTGTAGGCATGGCCATGCGCCTGCCCGGTGGCGTTCGCAATAGTGATGACTTTTGGGACTTGATGGTGCAGAAAAGAGCCGGTCTTTGCACAGTCCCCAAGGATCGGTATAACATCAAGGGATTCCACACAGAGGAACCTACAGCAGGCGCTCTGAGACAACCTCTTGGCTACTTTTTACAGGATGTTGACCTTAAGCAGCTCGACACATCATTCTTCTCATTACCAAAGAAAGAGCTGGCACGGCTGGACCCTCAACACAGGCAGTTGCTTGAACTCACTTGGGAATGCATGGAAAACGCAGGCGCCACTGGCTGGCGTGGCACCGATATGGGTTGCTTCGTTGGAGTACTGGGGCAAGACTGGCGAGATCTGAACACCAAGGAGACGCATCAGTCTGGAAACTACCGCGTCACGGGCTTTGAGGATTCTTTCCTCTCGAACCGGCTATCTTACGAGTTTGATCTCCATGGACCGAGTCTCACGGTTAAAACAGCATGTTCATCATCAATGTACGCTCTGCATCTCGCATGTGATGCCATCCGCCTGGGTGATTGCTCATCTGCCCTCGTCGCTGGCAGCAGTCTCATTTTCTCCCCCGGGATGTCGCTCGCTTTTGCGGACCAAGGCATCTTATCACCAACCGGGACTTGCAAGACGTTCGACGCCGGTGCAGATGGATACGCACGCGGCGAGGCGCTCAACATGATCTACATCAAAAAGCTGAGCGACGCATTGAAGGCCGGAGATCCGATCCGTGCTGTCATCCGTGCCACCGCCGCCAATTGCGACGGTAGAGGTGCCCCTTCAGCGGGCATCACAACCCCCAGCCCAGCCTCGCAGGAAGCCTTGATCCGCAAGACGTACGAGGCTGCTGGAATCAGCGACTTTTCGCAGACGGCATACGTTGAGTGCCACGGCACGGGCACGCAAGTTGGAGACCCCCTGGAAGCTACAGCTGTGGGCAGCGTCTTTGGTGAAAAGGGCGTGTTGATCACGTCCGTCAAACCAAACGTTGGGCACTCGGAAGGCGCAGCAGGTATTACCAGTGTGATCAAGGCCGTCCTCTCGCTTGAGAATCGAACAATTCCACCCAATATCTTTTTTAATAAGCCTAATCCTCAGAGTATGTAACTCGCCCTTTTCTGCCTTCATAGGATCCGCACAAATATTTACTAATACAATCTAGTTCCATTTGCCAAAGCATCTCTGCGTGTCCCTGTTGAGCCTGAACCATGGCCCAAAGATCGAAAGTTGAGAGTCAGCGTGAACTCGTTCGGCATAGGCGGTTCAAACGCGCACGTAGGTTCATGACCGTCAACGAAGGTTAATTGTAGACTAATCGCCATATATAGGCTATAATCGAAGCATGGGAACCAACAGAGAATGGAGACACTCCCCAGAAGTTGTCAAATGGACATAGTAGCCACAACGGGGCAGAGAATTCTAAAACGCTTACCAATGGAGGAGAAGACCATCAGAGCCACCTGCTCGTATTCTCTGCACAGAATGCTGACTCTCTGAAGTCCACCATCGACAATTACACATCTTTCTTGACCAAGACGTCTGTACGATTGAAAGATGTAGCGTATACACTGGCTGTTAGACGCGAAGCCCTGTCATATCGTTCGTTTGCCGTCATCGACAATGTATCGAGCACATTAGTCCATGCACCAGCGGAGCAGGCAGGATCTAAGCCTCGAGTCGCATTTATCTTTACAGGGCAGGGTGCTCAGTGGCCGCAAATGGGCAAACGGCTGCTTGATACCAATGCAGTATTTTGTGACACCATTAAACAGCTAGACCAGTATCTACATTCTGCTCTGCCGGCACTTGGCTGGACCATCGAAGGTGAGTGAACGGTTTCGCCTTCCATCCCACACCCCTGGACGATTGTACTGACTAAAATCTACTACCAGGAGAGCTACGCAAGGCTGCTTCAGACAGTAAGATTCATACCGCCGAAATGTCCCAGCCAATCTGCACTGCTATCCAGATTGCGTTGGTCGAAACCTTACGATCATGGGGGGTTAGGCCCGAAGCCGTGCTGGGGCACTCGTCGGGAGAAATTGCTGCTGCATACGCCAGCGGTGCCCTCTCTATGAAGGTTGCCATGACAATTGCCAGCATGCGAGGCATCACGGTGCAGGAGTCTACCCAACTTGGTGGAATGGCTGCTGTCGGCCTTGGGCGGGAGGAGCTGCTTCCATTTCTCGAGGAGGGAGCTGTCGTTGCATGTGAGAACAGCCATCGTAGTAGCACAATCTCCGGAGATCTCAAAGTCGTCCAGCTCGCGGTTGCTAGGATAAAGACTGAGCTCCCCGACGTCTTCGTTCGTATGCTCAAGGTGGAAAGGGCATACCACTCGCGTAAGTACAACCCACCATTTACTCGTCTATGAATGAGATCTAACAAACGTCTCCCCATAGATCACATGAGAGCTTTTGGGGCAACTTATCAACAGCAGCTCACAAAAGGCAAAGTAGTGAGCAAAGAGCCAGATATCCCTCATTACTCAAGTGTCACAGAAGGAAGGATCCGGGACAAGGACGCCTTGGGACCGGCATACTGGCGTGAAAATCTCGAAAGCCCAGTCCTCTTCAACACAGCGCTCCGTGCCCTGCGGGAGGAGTTTGGCAACGAGAAGGTAGTTTTTGTCGAGATTGGTCCCCACCCAGCCCTCAAAGGATATATTGAGCAGATTGTTCGCGACCTTGGCCATGCGGACGACGTTCACATTGGAACTCTGAGCCGAGCCAGTGACTGCCAGCAAGTCCTTCTGAATACGGCGGGAAAGCTATTCGTGCACAACTGCCAGGGCCTGGATCTTGCGTCCGTTGTGTCTCCAGGTTCCGTTCTCACCAACCTGCCTAGCTACTCATGGACGCAAAACAACATTCATTGGGACGAGTCGCGTGTCTCCAAAGAGTGGCGATTCCGCAGCGAGCCTCCACACGAACTTCTAGGGACAAGGGTTCTGGAACTGAACAATGAGCCGCACTGGAGAAACATGGTCTCCCTGGATGACCTCCCTTGGCTCGAGGGACATCAAGTGGCTGGCCAGATAGTCTTCCCCGCGGCGGGCTACATCGCAATGGTCGGAGAAGCTATTCGGCAGCTTTCAGAGGAGCGCGTGTACAGTCTCAGGCAAGTCAATATCAAGTCAGCCCTCGTGCTCACCCATGGCACGCCAGCCGAGGTTATCACGACTCTCTCCCCGCTCTTCCCATCATCGCCGGACTCTTCTGCTTGGTATTTCTTCAATGTCAGCTCTTTCAATGGAACCAACTGGATCACCCATTGCTCCGGCGAGGCCCGACCAAGATACGATGGGCTTTGCTACCCAACGAATGCCGAAGCTGCTATGACTACCTTGCCGCGCAAGGTGGACCCGAAGTCGTGGTATGACATGATGGATGATGCAGGTTTCTGCTACAGTGGCCTCTTCCGCGGGCTCAAGAATATCTCATCCTCTACGACCGGAAGCGAGGCTCTCGGCTTAACCTCCAGCGCTGGCAGCCAAGGTCGTCCCCGTTACACGTTGCATCCGGCCGTGATTGACCAGTGTTTCCAGATGCTGTGCATTTCTTCAATTAAGGGCCAGACGCACAAGTATCTCAGATTGGCCGTCCCCACCTACATTGAAGACATCGTCATCTTTGCCGGTGGAGAGAACTTGCAAGTAAAGGCAACAGGTATCGCCTCGCAGACGGGCTCATTCAGCGGCGATGTGATTGCTCAATACGACAATAAACTGTCCCTGTTCATGAAGGGTCTGAAGTCTTCGCCTCTCGAGTCTGGCTCGATTCCTGGTCAAGATCTTCGGCTATTCCAACAGTTTGAGTGGAGGCCCGACAGCGACTTGAACCCCCTGAAGCGGAATTTTGTCACGCCTCAAGATGGATGCACAGATGGATTCCTGGAGCTCGAATCGCTCTTCTTACTTTGTGCCGCGGAGTATGTTGAATCGATTCAGCCCACAGAGACTACTCCAAGCCACCTTAAGAAGCTTCATAAGTGGGCAAGGGACGAAGTCAACAGCGTGTCAAAAGGCGGCAAGACACTTGTCGAGACAAGCCATGCGTTATGCGACCGCTCCGAGAGGCTTGCCCGAATCAACACTATCGCCTCTCAGGCTCAAACAACCCGGTGGTCTCCATGCGCTATCGCCATCACGCGTCTGCTAGACTCTGCCCTGGGCGTATTCTCTGGTAGCGTAGAGCCATTGACGGTCCTGATGGAAGGTGACTTGCTGAGCCGTATCTACGATATCCTTGACGCTGGTGACTATGCAGACACCATCCGCTCCATTGCCCACAAGAACCCACGGCTGAGAATCTTGGAAGTTGGTGCCGGAACTGGTGCTGCCAGTGAGAAGATTTTGAAGGCACTGACGACGTCGTTTGGCACACGCAGTTATAGCAAATACACGTACACCGATATTTCTCCAGGCTTCATGAACGCGGCGAAGGAGCGCTTCGGCAGTTACGCCAACATTGAGTACCGCGTTTTTGATGTCAGCAAGCACCCAGCCGATCAAGGCTTCGAGCTGGCATCTTACGACCTCGTCATCGGCGCTAATGTTATACACGCGACGTCGTCTTTGCACACTTCTCTCACCCATCTACGGGCTCTCTTGCGACCAACTGGTCAGTTGTTTCTCCAGGAGCTCAGCCCTGAGGCCAAGTGGATTAACTTTGTCTGGGGGCATCTCCCCGGTTGGTGGCTGGGTGAAGACGACGGGCGGCCAGATTCGCCGTGGGTTTCGCCAGAGCGGTGGACAAACGAGTATGTGGCAGCCGACTTTGAAGCTCCGCATACCATTGTTTATGATTATCCACCACCATTTCATATCAACGCATCTATTATCGCCAAGGTGGCCTACAAAACGCAATCAGTTTCGATAACCACACTTCGTTGTAACCAAGAGGAGGAACCGCATGTGCAAGCGATGAAGAAGAAGCTAGAGGCGGACGGCATCGATGTCAACGTGTGCCTCTTTAACCATGGAACTACCGTCCCTGACTATGAAGGGGACATCATCTGCTTCTTGGACAAACCGACCCCCTTCCTGTACGATATGTCGCCGGAAAGATTTCAGCAGATCTTCAGCCATCTCCTTGCTGCCAGGGGAAACATCTTCTGGGTTACGGGCCTGGCCCAGATTGATTGCCAGGATCCGCGCAATGGCATGGTCCTCGGCCTTGCTCGATCTCTCCGCCAAGAGGAGAACAAGAAGATGTACACCATCGAACTGGACGATAAGACGTCCCTAGCCACATCTATTGAACATATTGCCGCAATACAGAAGGTGTCACACAGTGAGGCCACGTTGGACGATATGGATGTGGACTGGGAGTACGCTATTGTGGACGGCTTGGTGTACATCCCACGCATGCACTGGCAGACAAGAGCCGAGACGCTCACAGAGCAAGCTACAGACGAGCAGACAGAAGTCACCCTGAGGACCCAGAGCCTGACCATCGGGAGCCCAGGTTTGCTTCGTACGATGCACTGGGAGGAGCAGCCAGTTCCTGAGCTAAAGGATGACGAGGTCCGCATCCGAGTGAAATCTGTGGCAATGAATTTCAAAGACGTACTCATTGCCATGGCTATTGTCAACGCCGATCTTGGCGAGATAGGTAGAGATGTTGCCGGCGTTGTTGTGGCTCGAGGCAGTGCTGTAACTGACTTGGACATTGGCGACCGCGTCATCTCTTTATACCCCGGCTGCTTTACTACGTACAAGAATCTCCCAGCATCCCACTGCGTTAAGCTTGAGTCGAACTTGAGTTTTGAGGAGGGCGCCGCCATTCCTTGCGTTTATGCTACCGCCATGATGTGTCTTGTTGATAGAGGAAACTTGAAGAAGGGACAGGTGAGTAGCCCCATAACCCTTGACACTCAGTGCTGTTGACAATCTTACTAACACTCTACCATAGACTGTATTGATTCATTCAGCATGTGGTGGCGTTGGGCTTGCTGCTGTTCAGATTGCGCTGTCTATAGGTGCCCAGGTAAGCTCTTCCTAATAAATTCGATTTGGACCGCATCATGTCTTTGAGTCTAACATAGCCATTCCTCAGGTTTTCTGTACTGTCGGAAACGCGGCCAAGGTAGCCTATCTAGTTGAAGAGTTGGGCATACCTGCTTCAAACATCTTCAACTCTCGAGATGATTCTTTCGCTGCCGACGTGATGAACGCAACCAATGGTAGAGGAGTGGACTTGGTTCTCAACAGCTTAGCAGGCGAGCTTCTTCACGCCTCGTGGAAATGCGTAGCTGAGTTCGGAGTCATGATCGAGATCGGCAAGCGAGACTTCCAACGGCACGCGAAGCTGAGCATGGACATTTTTGAACTGAACCGCAGTTTCGTCGGCCTTGACCTTGGCCATATCCTTCTCCATCGGCCAGCAGAAGCCCTGGAGAGCCTGGAAAGATGCATGAAGCTTCTCCGCAAGGGTGCCATCAAGCCGCTGCCTCTGGCAAGAGTATTAGATGCATTGGAGATCCAGGAGGCTTTCCGAAGCATGCAAGGAGGCCAGCATATTGGAAAGATGGTTGTCAATATGCCGGATGACCCGCAGACCCTCCAGGCTGTCCAGACATCAGCTGATCTCAAGTTCCGCCCTGACCGCAGTTACATGCTTGTCGGAGGACTGGGTGGCCTGGGCAAGGTGATCGCGGGATGGATGGTCGAGCATGGTGCCCGTCATCTCATCTTCCTGGCTCGATCTGGGGGCTCGCAGCCGGAAACTAGAGACTTTCTGGTAGAACTGAAGAGCCTTGGATGCGAGACACAGGTTTTCAGTGGCAGCGTTGGCAGCAAAGATGATGTTCAAGCCGCAGTACGAGGTGCTTCGTTGCCGATTGCAGGTGTGATGAACCTGTCGTTGGTATTGAAGGATGTTGCTGCGGCAAATATGAGCTTTGGAGACTGGAACGCAGTCATGCCGCCGAAGGTGCAAGGTACTTTGAACCTGCACGAGGCTCTCCCCTCCGATCTAGACTTCTTTGTTCTGTTCGGCTCTTATAGCGGCATTGCTGGGCAATGGGGCCAAGTCAACTACGGAGCTGCCAACACGTACGTAGACGCTTTCGTGCAGTACCGGCATTCCCAAGGTCTTGCGGCCTCAGTTATTGATCTCGGTGCTGTTGGAGATGCAGGCTACGTCTCACAAAACCCCGAAGTGCTGGCCTACATGCGAAACAGCGGCACCTACATGCTGCGTAGCTGGGAGGTTCTTGATGCCGTGCAACTGGCCATCCAAAGGTCAAGGCCTTTACCCACTGATATCTCCTCAGCTAGGTATATCAACCCAAGTCAGATTATCGTTGGCGTCTTGACGGGATTCTCAATTTCGGATAAAAGGGCACGCCTCCCATGGAAACGGGACCCGCGCATGAGTTACTACCAGAATCTGAACAGCGACACCGATGCTCCGGCCGGCGCGTCTACGCAACAGGACGATGTGCGTGAGTTGCTCGCGCAGGCATCTTCATCTCCCGAGATGCTGGCTACGGAGGAGACACAACAGCTGATCGCGTCAGCGCTTGGGTTGACTCTCTCCAACTTCCTCCTAAAGCCGTCCGAGGATATGCGCCTGGATATCTCCCTGGACAGCATCGGCGTGGATTCCTTGGTGGCAATGGAGCTACGCAACTGGGTGCGGCAAAGGTTTGCCGTGGAACTGAAGACGTTTGAAATCATCCATAGCCCTTCTCTCCTTGCGCTCACAGAGCTTGTTTCACAGGCGTTGATAGTACGGTACGGAGCTCCCGCTGCATAAGATCTAGCCCTTCGATAAAGCCGCACTCCTTCGCGGCACTCCTGTCTGGTGATTTGCCAAGTTGTACGTTAATGTCGCTGCTTAGAAGAAGAGTTTATGCGTATAGATCAAGTTTTCCGTTGTGATACCAGTCAAGAGTCACAACGTAATTGAGAGTTTTCTTTTTTTTGGTAGTGTTTTTACAATGGACCACAATAAAATCATATTAGCCTCTAAATAGTGTTAAAATTGGTGCTAATTGTTGATAAAGTATGAACAAGAATAAGAAGTATTCCAATAAAATTAAATACAAATAACGCCCTATAATATATTCTCAGATGTACACTATTCACTCGATCATCTGCAAGTCGTCGAGCGGCAGTGTCTGAATGTAAGACAGGGTCAAGGATCTTCTCGAGGGTTTCCTTGTTTTCTTAGCGGTCTTGATTGACTTGAATTCGATTCCCAATGAAAGCAAGGCTGCCAGTATGCACATGCCCACTGGCGCGAAGAAGACGTGACTGATGGCGTTATTGTAGGCGACGACGACAGTTTCCACCAGTTCAGAAGGAACAGCTGTTTTCAAAGTTGTGGCACCGTGTGAAAGCAGTGTATCGGAGCTCACCTCGGGAGCCGTTTCTTTGAGAAAGACGATCAGGCGGTTGAGGAAGATGCTGTTCCCTAGTGAGATAAAGATTGCACTTCCGACACTCTGAGAGAAGAAGATAAGAGAAGTTCCGGCGGGCACATCTGAGTCCTCGAGGACCGTCTGCACGGCAATCTGGGGTTGCTGGAACCCCAGACCGCAGGAAATTCCAATGAAGATAAGGTAGCCAATCCACTCAGGCTGAGGAGTGTGCACCTCGAGTCTCGTAAGCAGTCCCGCTGCTACGGTCGCTAAGATGCCAGAAACGATCGCGAAGGGAGTGTAATATCCAATCCGTGTGACGAGTAAGCTCCCAACAACTACTCCCATCACCAACCCCAAAATAGCTGGCAGGAGCATGACACCAGTATCAAGTGCCGATGCATCCTTAACGCCTTGGAACCAGAGGGGCAGGTAGTAAGTCCAGATGGCGAGGGCTGAGGAGAGCGAAAAGGAGTATAGAGTCCCGAAGACAACACTTCGCGACTTCATTACTCTGAGTGGGATAGTTGCTTTCTCTTGGGAGAGGAGGGTTTGAATAACAAAGAAGATGGTAAGTAAAAGTGCCCCAAAAACGAGACAAACGATGATGCGGGCATCAGTCCACGAGTATTTGGAACCTCCCCACTGCAGGGCAAGAATGAGGGAAAGAATGCCTGCGCTAAGAGTCAAGGCTCCAAACCAGTCAAAACGTCTCAGCTTTTCTAGAATGGTCAGCGAGGAGAGCATGTTTGATTTGCTTTGGGGCGGCTTAAGCAGAATCTGCATCACGATAGCGGTGATGGCGCCGACGGGCAGGTTGATCCAGAAGCACCATCGCCAGCTGGCCTTGTCTGTGATGGCACCTCCTAGTAGCGGCCCCATGATGTAACCAATCGCTTCCATGGCCCCAATCATAGCAATGAACGTTGGGCGACTCTGCAATGGCACGCACTGGGCAATGATCAAGAGAGAACCACCCGTCATCCCAGCAGAGCCCACGCCCGAGATGGCGCGTCCGGCAATGAAAACACTCGAGCTTGGTGCGGCGGCAGATATCAGACTACCGACCTCGAAAAGAAAGACACTCCCGATGAACACGCGCTTCACAGGGAAGAGCATGTAGACCTTTCCCCATGATAGCTGAGTGGCGCAGACGGTCAACTGGCTTTTATCAGATATTAGATATGATGTCACGGATAATAACTCGAGTTGGTAGCGAGGGGCTTTCGAAAGGCAATCGATCTTACAATGCTGAGCCGTACCAGCCGACGTCGGCGAGGGAATTAAAGTCGTCCGTGATTTTCGGATTCGCTGTGGCAACGATGCTGGCATCCTGTGAGAAGCGAATTTGTTAGCTAGAGACCATCCGCGACGATGATTAAGGGAACCCAATGCGCAAAGAAAAAAGGACGCTGACGCACCAAACCAACCATCAAAACCGAGAGCGCCAACACTACAGACACGGCGTATATCCGAAAGCCCGGCCGGTCACTGGAGGTATCCTCCTTGGTGGAGGACTGGCTAGTTTCTGTACATGTTCGACTCGGCGCAAAACGAACGTGGGAGGTATCGTCCTTCATGGTTGAATGTTCAAGGTCTTTGCATGTTCTAGTCGGAGCAACGAGGGTAATCGGCGACGCACGTCCGCATGCGGACTGGTGGAAGAAAAAACAAAAAGGAAAGGATGAAGGAAATAAGAAAGGATGAAGCTAATATGAAAGAAACGACATTGAGAGACCAACTAAGAAAAAAGCGAGCGAATGTGTTGGTAACTCAGAAGGAAAGATGTTCAAAGAGCGCAAACGTAGCTGGGACGAGTGTAACAGAAGGTTTCCAAAGCAATGTCCGCGTACACACCATCATAGCATCTCCTCACTCAGCAGGTTGAGGCTATAATTAGATATTCCCCGGCCTCATCGCTGACGTCGTATGATGACCCTGCGTATTGCTCATAACGATAATCATAAGCACAAATACTAGGCACAAAAGAGATCGCAAATTAACAAAGAGCCCAAGCACGAGTAACACTGCATTGTGGGCTGCTAGTACCTCCAAAATTGCCCCTGGTAATGAAAGATGGATATAATTTAACTGATACTGCGTGTTCTCATCAGTATTCATGTTGTGATACGTCCAGGTGCGAAGGATTCATCGTGGTAGCCCTCTTGTACCGGTACATGCTACCCCCTGGTAGTTTCACAGTATCAATGAGCCCCCCGCTATCTCGAGTGTCAGCAAATCTTCGTGTGCCCAGCTTTCAGGGGCCGGGATGCATGTGCTAGCATGGTTGTATACCGAAGCAGTGTGGAGTTATACTAGATTGTTTCGAGTATTGATCGCGCATTGTTCGAATGCCCTGTCTTTAATAACACTAGCTCACCCAGTGTGGTCTTTGGAGGAGTATCAATGTTGCGGTGTCTAGTCGATCCGAGGCTATGACTGAGTATTGTACCAGAGCTTGAAGATTTACAGTGAAGTAAAATGGATGCTGTCACGAACCTTCATTCGGGCGATCCGGCCTCGGTCTGGGCCCATGTTGTTAATCTCCTACCTAAACTCATTGCATTCCTCGCAATCTATGTGACTACAGTTTGCGTATACCGAGTCTTCTTCCACCCCTTGGCTCGGTTTCCGGGTCCCGCACTGGCAAAAATAAGCAACCTTCACGCAGCCTATTACGCTTGGAACGGAACCATCCGCGACGACACTTTGAGATGTCATGAGAAATACGGTGGGAGAGATTTTACTCGTCGAAAGTTAGTCACTAACTGAGAGATGTCATGTAGGGAAATATGTGCGTTACGCACCGGACCGCGTCCTCTTCAACTCAGCGCAAGCTTTGTCGGATATCTACTCCCATCGAGCCAACACCATCAAGTCCAAGACGTACCTTATGTTGGCACACCAAGCAGCGAACTCACTCACGATGCGAGACAAGGTGTTGCACAGTAAAAGACGACGAGTCGTGAGCCAGGCCTTTTCCGAAGCCACCATGCGCTCCTTCGAGCCAAAGATTGTTGAAAAGATTCACCGACTGTGCGATACCATAACAAAGTCCCTAGGAGAAGACGGATGGTCTGAGACGAAGGACATGGGCCGATATTGTGAGTCTTCCCTCGAGCAAGCGTCTGCAGCGCTTTGGCTGTTTCCAACGCCGGTTGAGCTTTGCTAATGTCCAACTGCCAACAGCCGATTACCTTGCTTTTGATATTATGGCCGATGTCGTTTTCAGCGCGCAGTACAATACAGTCGAAAACGAGAAATTCCGCTATGTCATCGGCGCGATTGCAGATCACAATGTGCGGCTAGGTGTAATAGCTCAAGCCCCCGAATTGTCCATCAAGGCATTGCAAAGGCCAATGTTTCGGCAGGCTATGAAGGCCAGAGACAGATTTGTCAAGTTCATTCGAATTCTGCTAGGCATTCGCTTGAAAAATAAGGCAAAGCAGAGAGACATCTTCTCATACATTCAAGATGCCAAGGACCCCGACACCGGCAAGGGCCTGGACTTTACGGAACTGAGCACTGAGACAGCGACCATGATTGTAGCAGGTATGTAGCTCCTCGCTTCCTTGCCTCCAAATTCACACTTGTTAAACTGCACACGCTGTTCTTCAGTCATCATGATACTAATCATTTATAGGCTCTGATACAACTTCCACTGCACTGGCAGCAGTCCTGCATTATGTTGGCCATTCCCCCGTATGCTACGACGAGGTCATGAAGGAAGTCAGGAGCCGGTTCAGCAGTCTAGAAGAAATTCGTATGGGCCCGACACTCAACTCTTGCGTATATCTCCGGGCATGCATCGACGAGGCTCTCCGCATGGCACCTCCTGCTGGGGGCACTCTGTGGCGAGAGGTAGACCAAGGCGGTGCGGTCATCGATGGGATCCCCATCCCAGCTGGCTACGACGTTGGGGTAGCAGTCCACAGCTTGCATCACAACCCAACTTATTTCCCCAAGCCCTGGACCTACGACCCCAATCGCTGGGTCAGGTCCGGTAGTGACAGCTCTGCGTCTGAAGAGAGCATGTCAGCCGCTTACAATCCATTTGGAGCCGGCCCAAGGAGTTGTATTGGTAAGCCACTTGCGCTCCATGAGCTTATGTTGACATTGGCGACTCTTTTCTTCCAATTTGACTTCGCTCCAATTGGCCGAGACGAAGACGCCTGGGAAAGTAAAGGGATGGCACCGGAGCGCTTCGTACTAAAAGATCATGTCAGTGGTCAAAAGACTGGGCCATTTGTGAAGTTTAGACTTCGGGAGTAACCGAATTTGAGAGATGTCAGCTTCATTTCAATTACATGAGGCAGTTCCGGCCCCTTCTTGAGGCGTCTAGTGAAGATATCCGTTCACGTTAAATGCGCAGCTCTACCAGCATCACCAATCCTCTGATCCGTCCCAATTTTGGATGGCCAACCCTTGCCGAACGACCTGAAGCCTACCTACCCCGACATGTAGAGATCATGAACAGGCAAGATGAGATGAACTAAGAGACATTCAATTGAATTCTGCCTAAAGCTAGCTTAGAACCTTTCACGAGATGTATTGATGATCTCACAATCTACTTCGTACATACAATCATACGGCTTGATCACGGATTGATGGGCTTCTTACAGGTAATTACTGCTGCGAGGCCCCGTTTTCCGATGCAACCCTTTCCGCCTCTAATTGCCCCAGCTTGGGAAAGAGCTCCATTTGCGCGTTCATGAGATCTTCAGGGCCTGATGCCCCCACGATAAGCATGGCGATGGTGTTGCCATCAGCTCTCTCAGAGAAGGCCTTCAGAACCAATCCCCTCGTCTCCTGTAGCTTTGCAAGATGTTGGGCTAAGATTCGAGGAGGTCCAGGGAAGGGCAGCCATGCGACTGTTGCCCAGTTGTAGCCCAGGTTTGTGAAATGAGTTTGGCACGCCGGTAAGATCAAGCTTCCGTTGATGCGAGGGTTTATGTCAACCAGCCATCCGGTCTCGTCCGAAGGGGAGCAGATGATGTCAACACCGGCTATGCCCACAAAGCCCTCATCGCGCATCTTTGCACCGAGCTGGAGAATTTGGGGCTGGAACCGCTGCTTGAGAGAGCACTGTGCGGAATAGTCAATCCGCGCGCCGGCCCACGTAAGGTTGTCGCCCAGTGTCTGTTCAGCAACGCCTAGGATGAAGGTATCCCCATTTCTAGGAACGCAAAAGTTCACACAGAAACTCTGTTCGACATCTTTGAGCTCCTGGATGAGGACTCCAACTTTGTCTCCTGTGAATGGCGCGTGCTCTGGCCTGCGATATTGCTCCAATCGCTCCTCCAAAGCCTTGATACACTCCTCCCGTGCCTCGTCTGTGCGCAGGGCGAAGTTGGAGCCGCTCATCCCACCAGTCAGCTTTACAACGATAGGAAGCGTCCAATGCCGAAGACGGCCCTGAAACTCCTCAAAGGAGACAGGCTCGCCACCAGACTTCATGCCATCGGCCCTCGACTCTGTCTTGCCTACGTCAATGGCAAACAGCTCGCCCTTGGGAGTCTTTAAGCCCTCTGTTTCTTGGAGGAAGGACTTGCACTCGAGTCGCCACATGACAGCGTTCTCCACGAGCAATGGAAGTTCATCTTGGAAGTCATGAGCAACGCAGCTGTAGAACTTTTCGTCGGGCGACGCCGACGCAAGTAATGCAGGTCCAACCGGGTTTCCCGCGTTGATGAAGTGTACATCGGGGCGCTGCTCCTTCACAAGTTGCGAGGATGCAAATTGGTGCATGTCAGGGTCTGCGAAGCCGTATGACTTGCCCGAGTCACCGCTTGCGAAGGCGAGGTAACGTGTCGGTCCAGATAATTGAAGAACAGATTGGGAGTAAGCATTTAGCGATTGGTCCCCATTTTCGCGTCTTGCGGATTCCTCGGGGTCTTTATACCAGCTTAGTGTTGTGTCAACTGAGTACTTGCGGTCGCGGGGAATGCCTGGGACGATGTCGTATGGCGGAGAGTGTAGAAGAGCAAAGACGGCCAACTTGCCTAGCTCATTCTCACGGGCTATGCTTTCGATGGTAAAGTCGAGCTTGAGTGTCGATTTGAGACTTGGCCACGCCATGATGAATGCTGAATGCTGCGAAAGATGCGGAATTCGTACCTAGTGAACAACACGTGTGCTGGACTCAAGAGGCCCTTGGCTATATATTTATATGCGGCACATCGTTAGTGCACCCACATAGAGACTCCAATCTACCAAGGTACTACGCTACGAAGGTGTTCTAGGATAACACTCTAACAACTCGGTTTATTAGCCGCTTCTGCCGTTTGAGGACCTTCTGCAGGTGGGGTCAAGCTGATGTTTGAGGTGACATACGGAGCTAGTGCTGATACTACGAGCTACTCACCGCAAAAGTATAGACGAAACACGGTATCCGGTATTGACAAGGGCGATTCCTTCATCCTTCGCGAGTACCTTGGTACACGCACTCTGTCCAGGGGGCCCTGAACGGTATACTGTAAGGTTCCATATTATTTGCTAGGGATGAGCGGCCCACCAGGCCACCACTACTACGTACCAAGGCTCAGGCGTCCCAACTCATTGTGACCACTTAGGCCTTGTTCTTCTTGAGCCTAGCAGGTCAACCACAGTTGAGGTTATGACTGAAGCCCAACTTCTAGCCATACTGGCCATCGAGTCAAGAAGCTCTGACTGTGGTATCAGGAAGAGCTAAATGCCCTCCAAGCAAACGGCATTAAGACAAGGCACATGACGACCGCTTCACTTAATCAATGCCAATAAAGCCGGATCAACTAGGCCTACTAAAACTTATATAACTCGAGCTTGGTTGCGAGCATGGACTGTGCTTCAATCAGAATATCATATCTCTGTGCTTTCTGCTTTAACCATAATCAAGGTAAGACATACCAATAGAAGAAGTTTCCAGATACTAACAGTGTACGAATTACAGTGTCCAATTCATTGTTCCTTTGGTCAAACTTTAACAGATTCACCTAATGTGCAAAGTTTACCACTGTAATATCCTAGAAAGAACAATGATAATCGTTGGGATTGGTGCGACAAGTTATGTAATATCTCGGAGCAGTGAAGTAAGTTCTATTTGAACGCCATTGAGCTGTCTGTTCCGCAGATTTGTACAATAACAACGATCGGTTCTCTTCTGTGGGCTAAGAAACCAGGCCACGGGAGGGATAAGCAGAACTCAAAAGATAACTCGCCCCTTATATCGATGAAACAACGGATGCTACTCGACTCATTCGTGAAGTGCTGCTTTAGTGATAGGATCTCTACATCTTTAGATTCCATAGGACAAACAGTCCAGTGCATCCCGGAACCTTTCCAGACAAGACAGCGAGCCATGAGCATTAGTCTATAATGACTATAACTTTATTTCGTATAGAAAAAACACACTAAATCATTCAAGCAAACATATATCTCTTTATTTCTAAACAGGCTTCGAGAACAGTAATGTTCGATGCTTCTTATTTTCGTGATCCACGCGCACATCGTTTCTGAGGAAGTTCTTTCCACAATTGTAACGGCATATATATCGCTTATTAAGATGCTTCGGCCCATTTATGTGTCTCCCATAGTTTGATGTAGTCTTGAAGTCACGTTCACAGTCGTGGCAATACGTGGTTTTCGGTTGCGAGGACCGTGAAGGTTGTGATGTCAAGGTAGGCGAGGCCACATTGCTCATATCACTTAATAAAAGTGAAGAATAGCTAGTAGCTGTTAGCGCTGGATTTCAGCTATCAAATTGTTTCAGAGTTTTCCGTACCTTGATCGTTCCCCAACAGACATCGAGGGACTTCCATGAGTCGACATCACGGATGTCTCATTACGATGGGCTGTTTCCCCTCTCACCCTTGTGACAGGACAAAGTGTACAATACCAAAAACAGTCAACAGCACTTGCTCTCGGCCAGCGTCCTGCCAAGCTTTTCAGTATCATAAATGAGCGCTGCATAGATAATGCGTCCTGGGGGTACAAGTGCCTGGAGAGTAGGAATTGTTCAAATTCAGTGGCCTAGGTGAATCATTAGTCATGAAGAACAGAATCCATCCCAACGTAAGTATAGACCTCACCTCAAGATGAATCTGGAGGCTCTCAAGACTTGATATTATTCCTGAGTTTACTGTGTTTCTCAGTTTCTCTCTTGCACTTTCTGCAATACTGTAGTTATGCTTCTGCGATGTAAGTATCATAGATGATGGCTGCTCCGGGCCAAGAAGAATGCAAATTACACTGTTCAAATACAGTCTTTGTTGTCCCTCCATCCAGAGCTTTATCGAAGCTGTGGTAGCCTTGATACACTCCATATCTGCAAAGTGTTAGGACGAGAATAAATGTCACAGATGAGCACCAAAACTCACATTGGAGAATGCAAAGAACGAATGCAAAGATTGCACCTCCGACCAATATGGTTATGATTTCTTCCGTTTTTGATACTTGTATCGTGTCTCGTGACCAATCTGCCGTCATAAAATCCGCTTCTCCAAATGTAAACATGGCATCAGGTTGTTGGACCTCTCGGGGGCGTGGTTGCTCGTGACCCTGCGAGTCCCTAGCATTCCTATTTGAATGAATGCGATACATTTAGCTGCCTGAAACTTTGTTGAAAGATATTTTTGAAGGGTTGCTGACCGTTCATTCCATCTCTCCTGCGTTTGGACAAGGCTCGATGTATGATAGTCTCCTACCAAAAAGTGGTTCAATATGTCCGAAAGATGCAGTGCTACTGTTTGAAAGTGTTCAAGTGTTTCGGGAAGGGGCACGGTCCTGTGTTCCAAATCGGATATATCAACATGCCATATATCCCTCACAGCTTCCCGGAACACATGCTGGGACTTATCGTTATCGAATACTAGTTGCCATCGGCCCAAGTCTTCCTGGAATTCTCTTGCCGTACCAAACTGATCATCGGCATCTAGGACACGCGATATTGCCTTGCTTAAGCAAAGAAACTGAAGTGTTTCGTCGATGTGCACAGGTAACTTTTGTTTGCACAGTTTGCGAAGAGTTTCCCAGCCAGTCATCCATGCTTGATGGCTTTGGAGCTCAAAGCCGTAGGACCAACGCGCCGGAAAGCTGGTACATAGCGTAGAAGATTCGTCTTCCAAAACTAGATCCCCGATGCGGCCATGCTCCTTGAAAAATTCGTTGCGAAGAAGAAGGACAATTTCTCTTTTTCTTTTCCTCGCTCCGGCGCGAGCATGCGCTTCCTTCACCTGTTGTGCAATTGCTATCATTCGCCTCATGGCTTTAGTAACGCACGGCCTCCCGGGAGTGTCATAATCCAGCAGATAACGTCGTTGTTCCTTGAGCAAAAGTATTGCAAGTTGAATGTCTCCACCTTGTTCGATGAGAAACTGGAGCATGGAAGCAGACCCTTCTTTTGCAGCAATAGTTAGTGCTGTATCTGTAAACCATATTGTATTTACATCGGCCTGATAGTCGATTAGCGTCTTGGCAACATTTCGATGACCATGTCGTACTGCTTCTATTAAAGGCGTGGCTCCCCCATGTACTTTATTAATGTCGAAGCAACTCGGTGGGGAGTACTCCTCAAACATCGCTTCGAGGGAACACACTTCAGAACAGTAATCAAGAAGTAAATCTTGTCGAAATCTTGTATAAATCTCGTCGCATGCCGATAGTTCCGGGTTCTCAAGTATCAAATCGTACTCGTCAACATATAAATCGGCATCTTTCACGGCCTCAATAGTCCTGTCGATGCCTGACTGTAAAGAGCTCGCCCCTTGCAAAGTTCGCAAGTATCCTTGCCGATGCAAATTCGATAATCCATAGCTCCTTAGGATCTCTTCATCGTTCAGGAGCCCGTGAACTAAGAGTGCCATCTCAGCCACCAGAGGCTTCAAGGTATTGGCATTTTCGGTCTCCTCATCGCATACTTCGGACTGTAGCTTGGACAGTGAATTAACCAGTCGGTGGTGGTTTTTTAGTAGTAGCAGACCGTTATAAGCGCCGGAACTTTCGACAACATCGGGCACGGACTCCATGGCTTGGAAGACACGTAGTGTCAGTGCCATGGAGTGTATCTTCACGGCCATAGTACGCGGCGTCTTATTCACCGAAAAGCAGAAGTTGTCTTCCACCTCTCGTAGTAACATATTGTAGCATTCACACGTGGGTGGACACTGTAGAGGTACAGTAGCATCAATCCAGGCATGGTCGCCGAATGTGTGACCGATGAATGTTCCATTGCTTTATAGCTGTCAACTCACAATCATCTGGGAACAATAATTGGAAAAAAAGGTGTTTGCTTACTTTTCAAAATGTTCTTCGAGAAGGAACATTGGTGCTACATCAAGACCCTTGCTGGCCTTGAAATAGGGACATTCTACATGGAACTGAGAAGATTCCATGGACAGAGTTCAGGAGATGCTGATATGCCTTTCAACTTCGACATATGTGTAGTGAGTATGCTTAAAAGAAAATGGAGAGATGGATTGATTGCTATACTGAAAATTCCGCAGCTTCCTTAAACAGCTCTCCGGGGAGATCCAATATCGGTATATAAGCATCGCTCGATACCGCATCTCACCTCACTTGACCTTTTGGTCAGTCTGCCCACCCGAAATACGCCTCGGCGCCCAAGGCACTGATTGACTGGTAGGAGAGGTGGAGAAGTCATTCGGGAATCGATTCCCACCTGTTAGGCCATCTGATTGGCGGGACTGGTGTTTCTTACATGGCAGTGGACTTCTGGTGTGGCGCACAGCAGGATGCATCAGACACTCGATTGGTTTGCGGTATGCCACATACGCTGCCTGGGTCCATCCTCCACTCCCCCCGGTGTGTCGCACTTTCGGGCATGCCTGCGGCGAATCGCAGCGAAATCTGCTGGGGGCATCCATGATCCATCGTGGTTGGTCAACACTTGGGTGAGAATGCAGGAGACAGGAGGGGCCATTGCAAGCCTCATGGAGGGAGGCTTCGGGGCGAAATTTAGCTCTGCCGACGAAAAGGCTTGAGAGCCAGTCGCTTGGCTTGGTGAGGCGGACAGTGATAATCATGTCTTCCAAATTCTATATACACCACTTAGAGTTAGCTGTATGCAGGTCAGCACGATTTCCCTTTGAATCTGACAGGGACATCTGTGGGAATCATGTTGTGAGTTTGATTCCCACGAGCGTATCCGACACGCATAGTATGATCAATATATGGCATGGCTTCTTTTGGAAAACCCAACGGGAATGCGAGAACAACCAGCATAGCACTATAGCACGGCATGGATCAAGTTCATGTGCAATCGCAATAGTTGCAGTTTTAGAAATTTCAGCTGATTAATGAGCGAAAGCCCATCAGCCTACTGGAACAATGAGACGGGTGCACCAGAGTAAGGTATATAAGGCCTAGGCCAAACTCGATCTTATCTCTCATGATGGCGACCCCGCCATATTTATTCTATGTTCAAGTTCACTCTCCAGTCTGCTTTCAATTGCGATTAGCTTTTGGTCCACTATCATCTTCTCTGCAAGTTTCTTTCGTGCCCTAAATACCATCCCCAACTCGAGGGAGCAGACCCCGATGGAAACTGAAACTCCCGGCCCTTTCCCTTCACATGCTTCGATAAATAAAGTTCACCGATGGGACCCTGAGGCTATTTACGGTATTGTTTTTGGCATATGTACTCTCGTGCTAGCAATCCCGGGGGTGTTCGTTGCTATTCGCCTCTTCTATTCACGGAGTAGGAACACGGGCGCTACAAATTTCCCTCTCGGTGACAATTACCCTCACAAGGAGCTATTTGTGGCGTATGTATGTTTTTACTGACTTCGACCTATAGACACTGTCGAAAATGCAAACCAGGACGCCGAACCCTAGTATTCACTTAATATCAATGCGACCAAAATGCAGTTGTTCCATACAATTCAATCCAAGGCGTACGGTAGTGCTCCCCCTCGATAGTCTTCAAACTGAGGAGTCAGTGATGCGACGGCATGGAGAAGGTGTCATTTAGTCCTTTTTATACAGGAAGGAAGAATCAACTCTTCATATGATTTACTGAGCCTAGTCATTTAATATTCTTGCCATTTCCTTCATTCAAGTTGTGTATAACTATATTTATGCCTCTTGTGCAAAATGGCATTACTTAAGTATAGGTTTTTCCATTCGTCGAGTAACGAAGTGTCGTCACTAGCAGACATTTCAGCCCACTAAGGGTATTAACTTATTTGACTACGACTAACCTCATAATTCACTTAAGAAATTCTTTTGGCGGGCCCGTAGGACCATGAACGGGGTCATAATGGATCTAGGTGGCTTCGAATACTCAAGAATGAATATAGAGGCTGGGCAAAAGCTATATCTCTCAAATTCAAGGAGCAGACGTTCTCGATAGTCCATTCGGTTGGATATATACACATCCTATCCCTTTTTACATGGCTGTTACGGAACCTAAGTCGCTCAAGACAATTGGGTATATATCAGTCCAATTTCCAATGCAATACCTAGACTAAGAGCTAAAAGCAAAGATAATCAAGTACGTATAAACAGAAATAGCCCTGCTAGGTATTCTACCTTCATATGTCTTAATGTTCGTATTCTACTAAACATGTCGCTGCCTTTAAGCGCGATATCTGTTCCACTGGCTGTTGACACGGTCGATCTGACCGGGCGTAAACTCAGTCCAGCAATCACTAGAAGTAGGTGTCAGTGGATGTTTTCTAAATGGGATTCATCTTACTTACGGAGACGTGTAGTCCATGTAGTTATGGATAGGATCAGTACCAGGGTGGTTAGGGCAGGAATCCCGACTGGCAGGGCACCCGCTGCTGGGGCCAGACTGAGCAGGAGTATCATCGACATAATCACCAGGGCCGTCACAGTTGTTGCCGTCAAAAGTGTGCGCGAGACCCAGCCAATGGCCTGCCTCGTGAGCGGCTATCAGGCCCATGGCCGACTTGGCCAGGGTGCAGCCGTCAATGTAGAAGTTATCAGAGCCCTCGGGGGCGTTTGTGGGATAGTAACAGTACCCCGAAGCAGTAGGGAGGACATCTACGATGTAGACGTTCATAGACTGGTAGTTGCCTCGGCGCAGAGCTTTCTTCATTGGCATTTCTTGACCATTGCCTTCATTGGCCCACTGGGCGTTGACTGTCTTTGTCTTGCCGGCGTAGTTGAGGTTGATGTTGTAGGGGGAAAATGTTTTCTGAAGGGTATCGAACTGGTTCTGGAGGGCAGAGTCGGAGCTGAGGCCGCTCTCAGAGGCTGAGATTGCGTGGAGCCAGACATCAACACTGATGGTAGCCTGGATAGTCATACCCGACTTGCGCATAGACTTCTCCTTGATGGACATCTCTTCGGCAATGTCAATCTGCTCCTGAGTGAGCTGGGGTGATTGACAGGAGAAGCTTCTGGGCTGTATAACATGGCCCAAAGCCAAACTGGCAAAGAATAAGACTGATTTGAGAGACATTTTCCAGAAATGGAGAGCAAGAATGTTGCAATTGAATTATAGCCGAGCCAACAATCACTGAGACGGAGAAAAGTTGACTTTAGCAGTCTGCTGAAGATAGATAATGTGTACCTAGATAGATGAGGCAAGCAGCAAGACTTATATAGACCCTTCCTCTTCCGAATGTAGCCCTTTTTTTCATGTCTGCCTTGTTACTACTCGAGACGGGACCAAAGGTCGTATAGACTTAGAGTCTTTAGCTGTTTTAGGCAGCTGTTCTTTTCTTTCTGTCAATCTATCTGAAGTCTTCTCCAGTCCCAAACACTGCCTCTTCTAAATTAGGGCGCGGCAAATTTAAGGGGGTGCCCCTTGGTTGCATTTGAGGCACGCCAAGGCTGAAGGCACTTTGTTCGATGCCCTACACATGATCGCATCCAATAAAGGAGACTTCTAGACACGACGACCTGAATTTCGCTTCATTAAACATGAAGTCTAACCCATCTTCTACCGTTCAGTATCCCGCCTTGATGCAGTCAACCTTCAAACCTTAATAGACGAGAACCGGCAGTCCAAGCTCACACTTTGATACATGTAATGTTTTCGGCATCAGCCGGAAAGATCCGTTTCAAAAGTGAGCAACAGCTGAATATGCTACGTGCCCCGTCACATTGCTTACTGCTGATCTTCTTGCCCCCATGGGTAAGGTGGTTAGGGTCCAGGATACATGATTGGTGGAAGCTCTCCCATGGCAGCACTTCCAAGGATAAACCCATGGTGCCACTTCGGACTCTATACGCCCATGGTCTGAGAAGGGAAAAACAACGCGGGTTTTTTTTTTCTAAGAAAGAGGTGAATTAATCGCATGACCAATTTCCTCGCCCTTTTGAAGTGAGACAAGTCGCAACATGTACCTTACAGGGCGATAATTCAATGGCTTGAAGAAGAAAAAGAAAACACAAGAGAGAGAAAACAGGCAAAGGAAAGGAACAGGAAAAGGCAAGACAAATGTTATCGCGATTCAAAGATAAACATGTTCTCCTGGTCTACGCCCTCGTATCAATCGCTGATGGTGGCATTGGCCTTGCCCCTGCGTCAATCACCCCTTTAAGCTGCGAGAGCCGAAGTTCTCCACATCCCGAAATTACAACCTTAGCGTGCTTCAGATGTAACCACTACCCTAAACCTTTGAGAATCCCCTTGACCACATCAATGTATCAGGAAGAAATGGAAGCAAGAGAGAAGAGAGTTTCTTTATACTTAAGCTAGGTCCAAGAGTTCATAAATACAGGTGGTATTAGTTATGAAAACGAGATTGTTTGAAAGATGTTGAGATTGAACTTACAATGGTTCACTAGACGCTGCATATGTAATGATTCACTAACATGACCAGGTAGCGTGTGTTGGTCAATAACGAGAGTCATCCAATCTTTCCTGCAACAGCCCAAAGGTTGGATCACACCTTCCGATAACACTCTTTCTGTCCCTTTCCAATACGATCCGATATGTCTGCGGAATGCGACTAGAATACGACGCTGTGCCTCTCTGGAAAGGACGCCTTTGTTGGGGGTTTGACCTTTTGATGGGCATGACGTCACAGAGACCTTTGCTTCATGCCGTTTTTAAGCGCTGTGGTTCCATTTCAGCCCGCGGAAAAAAGAGGGATAGAGCTTGCGTATGTATGGGCCGCTTATATCCTGTTAGCATACTCCGTATTTTGAGGGATATTGCGGCCGCCTTTCTCACGGTTTGTCTTTGCTTCGCGGTAAATTGATTGCTCTGGTCAAAACGGGCTAGCCGCTTTCCCCCTTTCGCGTTTCTTTCCGTACTTGTGCTGTTGCTTGGCTGTTGCCCTAAATATCAAATACATGACAAGTGCAGCCATTTCTGTGGTCGCGCCGGAATCCCCAATATCGAATCTCAACTTGCGAGTGTTACAGTGGCATCAGTAGTGGGTTAGCCCAGTTAGGCATTCGCAAGGCTGGTAGCTGGGTGGACGTGATGGATTATTCGCCCATGTGTTCGGCCGCGATTAAAGTAGCGTGGGCGTCAGGAGTAGAGCTGCTGTAGAATTACCACCTACCGAGAGTATCACCATGCTCAATAGAATGTATATGCTATAATGTTGGAGCTAGAGACCGATTTGGGGTATTTCTTATTTTTAAACACGGAGCAAGTTGAATAAATGTGGCCATGGTGGCATGAACTAACT